GACACCTTAAAGGCCGGTCCGTGAAAATATTGTCGGGCATAAACCGGTCCGTGGCGCAAAAAAGGTTGGAGACCGCTGCTTTAAGGTCACCGTCCACTGGAGCCAGCTTTCTTCTGATTGGCTCAGGATCAGGTAGGTGTGCTCGCTGACCTCATTACCTGAAACTTTGTCCATGTTTAATATGAGCGCCCAGTTGAGGAACAGGTAAAAGCACAATAGGTTCACTTTCTTGGCAGATGAATGCTTTGTTGCTAAAACAGATTCCACGGCTGACCTGCTGACAGTGAAGCTCTCACATTATTTCCCGTCAGGTTTATGTAATTCAGTGAGACTCCAAGACACCCGTGTAACAGAAAATCTGTGGCTACCTAACCTCCGTGTCTCTTCTTTCTTTTACAGACGTATTGATGTTTACTTATCCCGTTCATCTTTGATCACACCCACCTGACAGACTGATGACTGACGGCGACCACAGAGCAACGACGACACACAGACAGAGGGCGAGGCGGGACATGACCTCGATCACTCCTGCAGGAAATCAGACAGTTATGTCTTTACTGCTTGTGTTTATCCAGTTAGCATTAACATCCAGCATAATGACACTTACAGATTTAAGGGGTTGAAAAGTTGAGTTCTGGAGGAGCTGCAGACGAGACAAAACCGAGTCCTCACTGTGAGTTAAAAAAATCTCTCAGTGGAATATTTCTACAATATTGATCAGCAGGGAACACAGAGGCCTCCAGTCAGAGGCGCACAGCAGGACACGATCACCGTGTGAACCTCTACGACCTTTGACCTTGTGAGCTAACAACAGCGCCACAGAGACAACATCCTAAAACGTTCACAGGACATGAAACAGAGTCACGGAGAAACGAGGGGCTTTCAGGAGAGTTTTGGTACTTACATGTGAAGAATGGAAGCCGTGGACAGAGACGATGCTTCGCTGTTTCTGCTGTGTTAATAACTAACTTCCAGTGTTTACTGAGAGTCCACAGTCTGCAGCTGATCGCTGTCCACCAACACTGTCAACACAGACCTGCCCTTTATCCTCCACCCACTCTGCTACACATCAGACCCCATTTTCACAAAATGTTACAAACCTTCAGACACTAGCAGGACGACGATAGTGTGGGACTTTTCACTGTGTACCCACCACACAATAGATCTGTGGTTATTCACCACAAACATGGACGTGGATGAAGTCTTCACGTCTCTATCATTTAAATCACTGTCTTTGGAAGCATGAACACCTATGACCCTACAAGACATCTGTAAAGATACTGAGCAAAGCCCAAAGCCTGTGAACCAGACTAGACCTTGGTATTACTAAAAGCTAAGATAATGTTGGCTGTTTGGAGTGCTAAGTTATCATCTAACGCTAGCAAGCTCAGTCTGTGAGATGCATTGAGAGACAGACATGTTGGTTATAACCATCACACTTGGTTGTGGGCAGAAACAGCTGGAGACACCACAGCCAAGTATTGCTGGATGCATGCTCAATCATCCAGGTAAGGAAATCCCAAAAAGTGGATGCTGTTCACCTGGGCGTAGCGTTTTCAGCCTGGTATCCTTTCCTTTAAAGTTCACCATCTGGTTTTCAATTCAATTCAATTTTATTTATACAAGATCAAATCACAAAACGTGAGAAGGAAAAACTCCTCCTTTAACAGGAAGCGACCATGCTTGGGCAATGTAAAGTCCCTGCAGAGGAACCAGGCGGGAGCCTTTCCCAGCTGCCACAGCGTGAGCGGCAGGACACACTCACACCTGGAGCCGATTTGCAATCACTGATTAACCAACATTTGTGTCTTTGGACTCTGGAGATGAGAGAACACAGGAAGGTCCCGACAGGCAGCACTAACCAGCACACCACTGAGTCACACACACAAAAAGCTGGAGCACAGACCTGCTGGAGGCTCCAACAGTACAAACAGGGTGGAGAGGTCATTCTGGGCTGCAGTTTTACACTTCAGTATCAGCTTCAGGCTGACGCTGTTAGACATTTAAACATAGTCTGTGAGGTTTGTGGCCATCCTCAACACATTTACATACAGCTATTTTGTTTCAGTGTAATATTAGTTTGTTTTCAATGTAATTTTTAATTTTTAAAAACATTTTATTGATCTTTAATATTTTTTAAAATAGAATATTGTTAAGAAAAATCCAGACAAGGAAGAAGGCACGAGTCCTGTTTTACACAAATATGGGCTCAGTTAGCAGGAAAAGCAGGACTTTAGCAGACATTTTTCAATTAAAATTATGGAACAAGCACAGAAAGAGTGTAAAGAGACTGGCATCATATAACTAATAATCCTCTGATTGGAAAGATATTAAAATCCAAATAGAAGGAGGAGAACAGTTTCTAACAAGAAAGAATAAGGAAGAAAAGCTTTTTGTCTCTGAAAGAGGACAGAGCACTGACTGACATTTATCTCCTGGAGATCCAGTGTCCAGGACGAGCTTTATTCTGGTCATAGAACAGTCTTATCCCTAAATGCTGGTTTCCAAGCAGAGCCGGCACTTAACAGGAATCAGCTGATTGTAATGATTTGAGCCAAAGCCAAAAGGTTTTAGGGGTTTCCCCCAGGAAACAGTTCATATCAGCATTTATAGATAAATTCATTCACTCAAGTATTTGACACTGTTTTAATTAAACCACAAGAATGAACATATATCAGTACAGAGTACCTGAAAGAGAAGCTGTAAGATTTTGCTATTAGATGACTTTGTGAGCACCTTTCTGAACCCTCAGCCTTGACATTAGTTTTTGTTCATTTCTGTTTTCTCAAAGCCAGAAACGACCAGAATTGGATGAGAGACTCCATGAAAAGAAGCTGTCACGTGACATGTCTGAGTTAAAATAGCTTTTGTGTTTGTTTTTCGGAGGAGAAATCCACAAAAGCTTCCGAAGTAAAGAGCCGGTCTCGTTGTCAGCTGCCGGAAACACCCAGAGAGCGAGCGGTTACAGGCGCGAACCCAGGCCAGCCTCCACAGTGTCTCTGAGCACCGCCTGCTGTGGAAACCAGGGCACTTATTAAGGTTAACCATTCATCTCCGTGTCCTCCTTTGTGCCTCAGCCTCATTCCCTCAGCTTGGTTTACTCGTGTGTCCTCAGCTGTTTTCATTTTTTCTGAATAAAAGCTGCCCTCGGGACATAAAGGAGCCATCTCTGGTTCCACAGGCGATTTTAGTAATTTTGAAAGTGATGTGGGTGGGTGTGGCCTTCCTGCGCTGGTGAGAGACCTGGCTGCTGCATTGTATATCTTTACTTTATGATCAGACTGCACATAGTTTATCATTGATGGTAAATCTATTATTACTTTAAGTATATCCTGTCAGAAGCAAAGAAAGATTTTAGCAACAAGTTTAACCCTGGAGCAGTGGTTCTTAACCTTGTTGGAGGTGCTGAACCCCCCCAGTTTCATACTAACCCCTCTTCAGTGACAAATAAAATACGATTTTTTTTCAAATTCAAGACATACATATGTTTTTTACTGGTGTACAAAATGAGCCGAGCATGTCACGGCAGAGGCTCTGCCGAACCCCTGAGACCGACTCACCGAACCCCTAGGGTTCGATCGCACCCAGGTTAAGGACCACTGCCCTGGAGGTTTACCTACCCCCAGTAAAACCAGTACAGAACTGCCAACCAGAAGCTGCAGTTCCTATAGTGGCCACTTGAGGCTGGCTCCAAAGTGACTCAGTCCCAGTAAACTCACATGTTAAAAAGCTCCAGTTCAGAGCAGAAATAAACATGTTTACAGGCTACAGGCTACTAAAGATGGTTTTGGTCTCTATAGCTAATTTTACCCAACTAGGCGAGTTTTTAACGAACTCGACTAATCGAGTTCTGCTGAACTGTAATGTTTGGGTGCTTTGAGGTGGATACCCGCCAGGCCTGGAGGTAACACTGTGCTAAATATACAAAATTCTAGTATTTTATTTATACATTACTTCAAAATAACTAGTTCCAGGGATGCAGCACCACATTTGACAGCTAGCTGTTGAAGCTGCCATCAAAATGACTGGGGATAGAAAGAGTTTTACAATGTCTGCCTGTAAAAAAAACCTTATGAAATAAAAGTTTGGTTTTACTAAAAATAAATAAAAAGCCACATGTTGTAAGGGTTCTCCACCAACAGGAAATTAAATTAGACCTGTTGTCTTCCACATGTCTAAGTGGTCAAAGTACTCAACCCTGATGGACTTGTCTGAGTGTTAATAGCATAGAATAAAAAGAATAAAAAGCATTTTACTGAGAAAATCATGGCGATCTGAACTTCACACATCGATGCTAAAAAAAGAAAGAAACCATGAGAGCGTGGTAAAAAGGACAGCGAGTACTCAAATACTTCGGTGCAGCAATAAACCGGAGCATCTGAGGTTCGATTCAATAAAAGTTCAGACTCAATGCTTAAATAAATACCTGCAGCTTAAACTTTATGTTCATTGTGTCATTGCTCTTAAAATTAGGCCAGTTTTAAATTTCAGCTACAAGTTGTTTTTCTTCCCAGGCGTATAATTAGTTTTTGTAATATTGTGTATGGAGACAGTCTCATGAGATGTTTTCATAGAATAAAATCATTGTCCTGCAGTAAAATGTGCTAATAAAAAGTAGGCTGCCCTTTGTGAAGCCTGGCTGCCTCCTCAGTGTTAGATTACTGCATTGTTGAACATCATGCTGAGTAAATTATTACAACTTCATCATTATGTGGTGGCTGTGGTACTTGTTTGTACTTAATCATTTGAACCTAATGATAAAATAGAAGTTAGTCAGAAATAATAGACACATAATTCATTTGTGCCACACAGCTTTTGGTTTACAATCACAGACAAAGTTTACAGGATTCGTTTTTAAAGAGGTGGCAAAAACTAGACGATGGGTGTTCTGAGAAATCAGAAAAATGAGAAAACCTTTGTGGATCTAACAGAAAATGATATAAAATCCAAAGGAACAACAGTGGCCAGACCTCCTGCTTCCATAAACCTGAACCTGGAGGTGCGTGTCTGCCCAGCAACATTGAAGCATGAACGACTAATCTAGTCAATAATCTGATAATGGTAAAGAGTGGATCAAACCACTGCCAGGTGGTCACAGGGACGATAAAGCACCTGCTGTTGCATCAATATGACAACACAGTTTTGCTCCTGACTTGTTCCTCACTCATTCAAACACGAGTTGCACAGATACACATCAATGGTTTGATTCTAAGAAAACTAAACAGACTCATTTTCTTTAGTCTTTCATGTTGTTTAGTTTTTTTATGTCACTATTGGTGTGATTGCTTCAGCTAGAGGTGTGGATAGAAATATTAAATGTGTTTTTTAAAGGTTGAGAGAAAATGGAGGGTGGAGAAAGATGGCACGATAAACAGAGAATCATCTCTTCTTTCTGTATCATGTCGCAGGCAGAACGCCCAGTTCTTCTTCACAATAGACATCCCTGCTGTAGCTGCCCTCCTCCCCATGTTTCCAGCCTTTGTCTGCAGGTGAGACTGAACCTGAAAGATGTTTTGTTTTGGCCGAGGCTTATAAATGCATCAAAGCCTCTTCCAGCTAGCTCATCTTCCCAAATCTGCTTCTCCAGAAGATGCAGCACAGCTCGGATGTGGCGGTGAGTCTCTCCAAAGCATCTCAGAGGATTTTATTTTCACGTCTGAGAGCAATTTAGGTTATTTTTTTAAAATGTATGCATCAAAAAAGACTAAAACTTTCAAAATTCAACTGCATGTTTCATCCAGACTGAAAACTTTTTATACAAGTGACAGTAAAAATTGTGTTTTTAAAACATTTTAATGTTTTTAGTTCACAAATCTTTTGTCGGACTTGAATGATTATTTAAAACTGATTTTATGAAACAGACCAGGACGTGTCTGTGAGGGCATCGTGTTGAGTGTCCACATTTTTGTTAGCGTTTGTCACATAGGACACTTATGCTTTTATATCTGTGTGGTGTGCCACAGGGGCCAGCTCTGGGATCGAGTTCATGCTCTCCTCGTCTCCACTCGGGGCATAAATGTCACAGACACAGCGTCTCTTAGCGTTTCTGTGCTGATGACACATGCATGTACCTAAACACTCCAACACTGGCATGTTGGCTTCTCTTAATAGCTGCCTTTTTACAACAGCATCATTTTATTTAGTTGATCTAAAAACAGAAATCATCAGTTGTGAAACTGTTAACAATCAGCTGGTTCTCTCATTATCAAGTCTTTTGCAAAGAGTTTTCCATTTCTTGAATATTTATTTCTTGCATTTTGAACAGCGCAGCTCAAATCTAATGCAGGCGTGTTTAAATAGTTTCAGAAGCAAATCTTATTTAATATTTTTTTGAAAACGAGACTATTTTGTGCACTTTTATCTCATCGGGTCTGAATTTAACGGCCTGTTTACTACTGAACATGAAATCCACTGAACACAGTGCAGAGCTGGAGAGATGCGATCACATCAGTCCTGTTTTAGTATCTTTACACTCTCAGGATGTTTGACAACAGATTTTACATTTCTGACCTCTAAGTACCAAATGCATCTTCTTCCTTCTTCCTTCTCCAGATGCTGACGAGGTTGCTCGGACTGCTGGTCTTGTCCACCCTCTGCTCAGCCATGTGGGTGCAAAACTACACCAGACAATACATTAGTGAAGAGGAAGGCTCCACATATGACCCCAACACCCACCACTGGCCTGAATCAGTTGACAGGCAGTTTAATGAGACTTCTAAGAAGCCTGATCACCCAACGGGAATCCCATCGTGGCCACCCGAGGCGCGCAGCGGGCCTCTTATGATGCCTCCAACAGGACCCCCATTTCCACACTATGGCAACAACTCTGAAGGTCCCAACATGCCCAGGGTGTTTGGGGTCAGTAACCCACCTTTGCCACCCATGCCTGACACAACAATCTGTGACATGCTGCTAAATGCACCGGTACCCCCGCCCGCCGACCAGATTCCATTTTTTTGCATCTGTCAATACTGCAAAGGAACCGTAGGACCCAAAGGAGACCGCGGAGACCGAGGTCTTCCAGGTAACCTGATCACTCAAAGCACCTCAAACTAAAAACAACGATTAAAATGTAAAACTTGAAAATCATTCATGTCTGAACAAATGTCAAGGATTTAAAGTTTGAAGCAAGGCAGACAGCAAGGTTTGGAGGAGGATTCCTCTTTAGTGATTTAATTCAAATTCAAATATCTGATTATATTGAAAGTAACCTGTCTTTAACTTTTGATCAGGTCCTCCCGGGAGCGCTGGAAGTAGAGGATTGATGGGGTTTCCAGGTCCCAGAGGGTTTACAGGCTCTCAGGGGATAAAAGGTGAGTTACACACCAGAGGGGTGTGTGAAGAAGCACATTTACAATAATCAGGGTCTTTAACATAAAGGTGTTTTTTTTACTTTCCACACTGAACTAATCAAACCGAGTTGCAACACAAAGCAACGCTGAAATTAAGAAGGGAAGAAAATGAGACACTGACTTCCTGTGATTTGAATTTATGCTTCTTCTCCTCACGTACTTTTCTATCGATACTGAATGAAATCCACCTTAAAACACCACAAACTGAATCTCATTGTTTTCTTTTTTGTTCCTCTAACCTGTTGTCATCTTTAAATGTATCTTTCAAAAAAAGCTAATAAGCTTAAACTTAGAATTGTTGGTTTTTCACTCAATAAAATATCAACTCACCTTTGTCTTCTCTGTTTACAGGCCAGAAGGGAGAAATGGGGGAAAAGGGAATGCAAGGTGCAGCAGGTTTCACTGGCACAAAGGGAGATCGAGGATTTAAAGGTGGGTCTAGATGGCATTATGGAGAAGGTCACCCTATTTAAAGCGTGGTTGGTAATACATGGATATTCACACATTTGTGTGAATGTAATTTTATGATGGTTTAATGATTTAACATTAGTACAGGGTGGGTAAGGTTTGGGTTCAGGCATAAAAATGAGATGATTTGAGTGGAAGATTGTAATTCCAAAGTGCATCCTGGAAAGATCCAGATGGAGTCTGGGCAAACTGGCCAGCTTCATCAGTCTACATACAGAAAATGGAGAGAAATGTGGGGATTCTTTAGGATTTAACCCACCTGAGTAAATACTGTTGGAAATTGTTCAGTAAAGTGTTAAACTTGATCGTATTCGTGATGTATGCTGTGGCTGTTTCCAGGGGACAAAGGGGACCAAGGATCAATGGGACCCCCTGGTGCATCGGGCCCTCAGGGGGAATCTGGTATATGCCCTGCCACCTGCGAGAGTGTGCCAGGTGCACCTGGTACCCAAGGACCACCTGGACCAGCTGGAGCCCGTGGCCTGCCAGGGGTGCAGGGTGCTGATGGACCCAAGGGCATAAAAGGTGATAGGGGTGACATGGGTTTGCCTGGAAACCCTGGCAGCGATGGTGAGAAGGGTGATCGAGGTGAGCAGGGGGTGTGTAAGTGCACAAATGGAACAAATGGTGCTGATGGCAAACCAGGGCAAAAGGGAGACAAGGGGGACAAGGGTGATATTGGGTCCCAGGGTATACAGGGCACCATGGGGTTAAAAGGCAACCAGGGTGATATGGGTCTCATGGGGCCACCTGGGCCCTGCTCTCCAGCCATCCAGTCAGCATTCTCCGCCTGTATCAACGAGTCATTTCCAGCTCACAACTTTCCCATTCCTTTCCCACACATCCTTACCAACCAGCAAAACCACCTTAACCGAAACGGCATCTACACAGCCCCCGTCAACGGCACCTACGTCTTCTCCTTTCACGTGTCAGTTGCTGTGAAACCGCTTAAAGTCGGCCTGTTCCGCAATTTCTACCCTGTGGCTAAAATAACAGAAGGAACCATCCCATCCACCACAAGCCACACGGTGGTCCTCAACCTCTACATGGGAGACCAGGTTTGGCTGCAGGTGAAGGACCCCACCACCAATGGCATGTACACTGATACTGAAAGCACTAGCACGTTCTCTGGGTATCTGCTGCACCCCGACTCCTGCGAATTTCCTCTGGGCAGAAATCACTACTTCCCACAGCCACATCATGGACGCTACACCTGGGATGGTCCCGACCCTACCACCACTCCACCAAATTAGTTTCTTTTCAGTTGCACAGTTATAGATGAGGCACAACAAGCATCCAATCAAATTCTCAGTGATTTTATAACTGCAAGTTTTAAAGGAGGGGTATTCTAGCAATGAAGCAATGACAATTGTTAAAATAGGTTTTTCTACCAGAGTTATGCTGAATACAAGTTCTACTGTAGGACCACACTGTAGTTACTACTCAATTAAATAAAATCAGGTTTTATTTCTTGGGTTAAATCTAATTCTGTTTGGTTGTTGAAGCTGGCATCACCTAAAAGGAAAGGCCAGCAAAAAAACCCAACAATAAACACACAAAATCCTTCTTGAAGTATTTGTCAACACTTAGCATGTTAGCATATCCAGGCAATTATTGTCAAACGATGTCTAAATGAACCTTAATTCCAACTCTTCCTGGGACAATAAAAACAAGTCAAATGAAATAAAAAAGCGTTACAATGTTGCAGAAGACTAATTTAAAAACGTTTTCACCTGGAAGTCACATGTCTAACAAACATTCTCCTGACTGCAAACATCTCTCGTCTCTTATGTCACACTTAGATGAGACAAAAATAAACTCCCCCTAAAATCAAGTCCTGTTTTACTGGTAATGCTAGTGGCTTCAAGTACTGGTTCCAACTAAAATATCTTCAATCACTATTTGAATGATTTGTGCTTACTGACTTTGACGAACCTCTCAGTTATCTGTCTTCTTGCAACAGTTTAAAGACAGGATGTGTTTTCCCTGTGACAGATTGGAGGCCTGTCCAGGATGCATCCTTCCTCACACCCAGTGACCGCTGGGATCAGCTGACACACAATTGGAAAAAAGAAAGAAAATTGAACAGCCATAATACCCTCCTTTTAAATGTGGCTATGATTCAACACTCATATGAAAATGCATCTGGGCTTGTATATGCCAGCATTTGATCATGCACTAATCAACTGTTAGAGCGCCCTTTTATCAGAAAGCTCATTTAGCAGCAGAGGTTTTAATATTTTTGATAGAAAATGTAAATACGTGGATCAGCTGCAGGCGATGGAATAACGTCACCACAGGTCTGTTGAGACGGAGGTTTAAAAAGTTTACAGTGACGGAGCGGGAACAGAGCTGCGACGCAAACGAGACGTCGAGAAATGAAGAAGGCTGAAGACACGGCAATGAGACGTGCCGGCAAATTCTCCACAAAATCAGTGAAATTCTCTTCAGGTTCATCAAGTAAAAGAATCATAATCTCCACAGATCTCCACAGTACACATAAATATTTTAAAAGACATAAAGAGTGAGAACAAGTGCCATTATTTTCTTAATGTTTTCTTAATCTTGAAGAAAATCTAATTTTGAATGTAGGATAACTGATTAAAGGCTTTTCTCGCTATTTTTAAGGTTTTATTTTTTTATTATATGATTTAAAACAAAGGTTGTACAATGAAGCTACCTGTGAAACTATCACCGCCTGATGTCTCGCAACATTAAACTTCCACTTTGTAAAAGGTATAATCTGTAAAACCTGCGACACCATCAGGTGATGTTGGACATGTGTTTGGGCTCAGACAGTAAACGGAGTGTGTTGCATGTGTAACAGGTTAAAGCATCGTTCACCTTCTCTGAGGTGTTTTCAGCGTCCACACCGTGTCGCCTGTTTGTGCTTCAGGTTGTTGCGATCTGTGCATCGTGGGCTTTGTTTGAAATTAAAAACTTTCACCTAAACTTTGTGTTTGAGTTATTTTCAGCAGCAGCACATTTTCTGGGTCCCCTGCTCCAAAAATTAACTTGTGACACGAAGCTCGTGTGCAGAGCAAAACCAGACATTGAGCCCGGCTGCTCCCAACAAACTCTAAACTTTAACACACTGCAGTTTATTCTGATTCAGCACTTACTGCAAATTCATCTGCTAATAAAAAATCTCCAACGACGATCATTTTTCACTTAAGGTGATTGTTAAATATGGATTGTTACAAAAAGAACACAACATTTTGTTTAGCTGTGCATTTCATGACACTCACCTCACACAATAACAAAAGTTTTGTTTTGAATGCTGTTAAGAGTCCGGTGCAGTGTGAGCTGATGTAGATCTGCCGATGAAGAGTCTGAGCTGGAAGGAAATCACTGAGGTTTAATTTCTAATATTTTAATGTTCGTTTGGAGCCTGAGTAACTGGATCAGCAGGGGTGTGAAATGTCCACGTTGAATTTTATTGTGTAATAATTAATGCTGCACTAGTTCAATTTGATGACCAGGATTTGTTGTTAGAACATGCATCTGCAAAGACTCAATAAACGAAGAGTCTCCACGGCTTTAAAAACAATTCATGTTAAACTGAATCTTCACATCAGGGCTGGTTTTTAGATCCAGATAGAAAAAGCATTTTTATTCACTGGCTTTTGACTCAGTGGTTGACTGACTTGTATTTACTTATATTTTATTGTTTTCGCTATGTTTATTATTTTATCGTATTTATTATTCTTATGGTATCTATTATGTTTCTATCGTTCAGCACTTTGGTGTGTTTTTAAAGCGCTATATAAACGATGATGATGATGAAACTGCAGAATAAAAATATCAAAGCACTTTTTTAAAGAATGCCACATCAGTCCTCTGTATCTCACATGACCGTCACACATAAGAACCAGGAAGTAAAAGCTGAATATTTGAGATAAATTAATATGAAGGTAAATACACATTGATTAAATACACTAACAAATAAACAGGTTTAATATTTCTTATTTATTGTACAGTTGTGAGACGGACCGAGACTGAATCCATATTTTCCACATCCTTCATCTATTTAACATTTCATTCAATTTAGTTTCATTATTTATCGCACCAAATCACAACAACAGTCGCCTCACGGCACTTTATATTGTAAGATAAAGACTCAGTAACACAACAGCTGGATCCAGCCGTCGGCTCCTGCCCCGCCCACATTTCAGCCATTCAGAACTTTAAACCAGAAAATGAGCAAAGAAGCAAAGAAATGAATAAATTAGCTTTATTGTCAGAGTTAAAAGTGCACTGTCGCACAAACACGTCTGGTTTGAGGGCCAGATTGAATTGATCCTTCTACATCAGTGTCTCTACAGTAAATCTGAACTCAAAGTCAGAAACACCTTTATAATCAGTTTCAGCCTCATTAAAACAGAAACTGTCTGCAGCAGTTTTCAAAAGACACAGAAATGACTTTAAATCTGAACATGAAGAGTGGAGCCAAAAAACCAAAGCACTACACAACAAACCTTTAAATAATGTTAAAGGATTTTTTAAAACTTTTAATATCAGGATCATTTCTGTGGTTCTGCATTTTAACAGGATGCTAGCTTCAAGTTATTTGTCACCAAGTCTTTATTCTGTCCTCAGATCTGATGTTAACATCTGAAGTCCACTGGTGTCTAAAAAGTCTGACTATTGGTTTAGACGTTGGATTTATTTATTTCTGAATCTGACCGAAACCACGTGTTTACAAGCAGTTACAAAGGTAATAACTCAAAGTGATTCTGCAGCACTGCAGGTTTGTGCAGCATTTATCTCGCTTTAGGTCACCGGTTTGTTTTTTCAGCTATGCCCTGATGAACAAAAGCACAAAATCTGGAACCTAAACAGATATTTGTTTCCTCAGGAGCTGAAGGAGACCGAGCAGAAGATGAAATAGAGATGATGGATGAAAACATCCTGCAGTGACGTAAAATACACCTGAAGGTTAAACATGCACAACCACAGGTATGCGCCTTTAAATCTTTTTCTAGCACAAACTCAAACTCCCAGCATTCTTTGTTTCACCCTCTTTCACTCTCTCTCCTCTATTTCTCTTTGGGCGCCATGTCGTCACCACCGGAAACGTTGCCTTCCTCGTCATCATCATCGCCGATGATCCCCTTCAGGTAGGAGCGCTTGAATTCCTCGAACACAATCTCCTCCTCCTGCTCACTACAGACAGCAGCAGTGTTTCAGAGAAAGTTAGTGTAAAAGCAGCACATCAGCTTCATCACATCATCACATTTTGACAAATTCATTAGAGAAAGAAGGACACAGAAAAACAGAGAGCCTGTGCTTTAACAATGGCCTTGTTTGGAGCAGTGGCTGCTGCCTCCGTGCAGAGGTATGTATGGACACGGACTCGGAACCAGCAGTGGTGGGATTGGGATGTGAGAGGCTTCAATGACACGGAGTTCATTCACCATTTCAGGATCTCAAGACAAACACGCCGCCATGCTTTCTCGTTTGTCTTCTCCGGGGCTGATAATTAGCTTTTGTCTTGTGTCAGTGATGTAAAAGACGGATTTAATGCAACATGACCATCAAACAGCAGTCGCTTTCTGAAACATCAGATATGTATCGGATTCAGTGTCACATATGAAAGTGACCCAGGTCGGATTTGAAAATATCGGATTTGTGCCGTTCACACCGTCACACCATGATGGGATATGGGTCGCACAGGGTCAGAAAAGTCGCCTGCAGTGTGAACTAAGACTTCAGCTGAGCATCCACAGAGCAACACTTTGATGTATTTCCCGTTTCTTCTTTGTCACGTTTGGCCTTGTGTCAACCGATGGAGCCCAGGTCCACCTCACAATCGCTGTATGTCAGGTTTGAGGTGGCATCTGAGCCACAAACAGCCCACACAACATCTGCTAGTGCTGCAGCTGAACTGACGCAGCCCAGATGTGTCTGACCTCAGACCACATCAGCACGACTCTTAGTAAACCTTTACTGTCTTTACCTGCTAGTCACATATACTAGACTGTGTGATTTTTCTCCCGCTTTACGCTGTGACCCATTCATCCACAATAATGAAACATGCTGAGATTCATCCTAAAAAGGAGAAAGAGATGTTTTTAGCAGTATTTTTCCTGAGTCTTCATCTCTTCAGCACTGAGGGAATCAGAAGAATTAGAAATTATTTCAGGAAAAAAGTTAAAAAGCTTGGAGAACTTGAACGTGAAGGGCGTGATTGGCAGTTTCGGTGGGTACAACTTTCTGACTTTCGCCTTGTTTTCAGTTTTAAACTTGTCCACATTTTATCACTGGTTTGCTGTGACAATGGAGGGAACTTAAAAAGCATAAACCTGTTTTTTTACATTAACAGTAAAACAAAATACTTTTTAGTGTTTGTTTGGCGTTTTTTGTCCTCCTCCAACCACATACTGTAAAAAGTATTAGATTACTGCCATCCTGACAGAGCTTTAAGGTGGTATTTTCAGTTTCTTCACATGTTCTGCTGTGAATAAACCAGAAAATGTGTCAGGGAGGCCACACAGAGCTTCCAACCAGCTGTGTTAGCTTTTTGTTTCCAAGTGTGATGTTACGTCGATGTTGCGTGTCCAAACGAGGCCTGTGTCGAGGCCCGTATCGTGCTTCAGAACATCACGTGACTGAAGATAAACGAGGCCCCGTTTGCCTTAAATGACGTGACTGCCTGTGATTGAAAAGATTCTCTCAGAGAGGATGTTCAGTTAGCTGTCTTCGACTAGGAGTCCTCATCATTTTCCATTTTTGTTTCTAATCTGATGAACTTTTTCTTAGCTGGACTTTTCTTCGGTTTTAATCTGCTCTGTAACTCTGGTAATCTGATCGACTGATGTGAAGGAAAAGATGGAAATAAAAAGACTGGATTGACCTCTCAGCCATTTCTCACACTGTGGAGGAAAGAGGACACAAAGACACCGAACACTGAAGAACAAACAAAGGGAAGCTGATACTGCTGATGAGGACAGGAGCTGGCAGAGAGGAAGCCCTTAAAAATGCTGATGAAGAGATAAAGATCCTGAAACTCAATCCTGTCCCTGGATAAAAGGAACAAAAGCAACATCGGGCACAATAAACACGACGATGTTCGTCCTCAGCTAATCTGCTGCCTCTGACTCGATCGTGTTCACTGCTTCAGTCTCTTCCAACCAACACGGCGCATAATCACTGGAACAATTCAGGGTGTCTCCCACGGGGATAAAATCATTGTTTATATTCTTTATTTAATTATTTTTCAGTTGTTAATATTCTTGCAGTATGTACTCATGCAAGTGTTTCCAGCAGAGCTATCGACATGTTGTGGATTACGCACCAGCGCTGTGTCGATGGAAAATATGTTTCAAAGTTACACAAGACCAGATAAACAGAAATTATTTTGCATATTTACCTCTCCTTCACTGATGGCAGCAATAAAGAAAATACAAACAAAGAAGTTTGAACAAATTTCTACAAAATGAACACAGCTTTGTTTTCTCTGAGCGTCTCTCCTAAACCTCACACGGACCAATTTCAGATCTGGCCCAACCAAACCTTCAATTTAAACCCTTTGTTATCTGGTAGCCACCTTAGTCGAATCTTTAATGTTGACATTTAAGACTTGACCAATTTATTTGATCTGTTTTCACTTGAAATCGGTTTACTATGAAAATAAACTGCAGTTCTTTTAAGACCCAACAGAGGGCGTTACCTCCCACTTTGAGAACCACTGAGGATTCAGGAAATCTTTTCCTTTCATGCTGAGTTACTCACGCTGGAAAATTTTACATTTCTTTAACTGTTTTCTTTGCAACTTAATTTCTTTTAATACATATAAAACTGTATATAAGCATATGTGTTATACTGATATAATATTGTCTATATAATGATCTGGTTTGACTTTGGTACAGATGTGCACAGCTGCTGTAAACATGAGGACATTTGCAGTTTTACCTGCATCTGGCTTGGCGTGCATCAGTTTGAAGGGAACTTCCAGACCGACCTCGCTGCAGAGTAAAAGCAGAACAAACATTTCTGTCTCATCATTTAATGTCTGATTCATCCTGCAGCAGTTTGCTGAGTGTCTTCAGCTCATGTTGAGCAATACTGCTGATCCTAGAAACTGAACATCGTAGTAACTATCAGTGAAAACAAGGACACATGAACTCACCTCGACCCCATCATCCTGTGAGCGTGTTGGAGACAAAGATCAGAGCAAGTAGAAACACGTTTACATGCAGTGACAACAAGGACAGGACGTTTGAACACGAGTACATCCGGTTTCAGTGCTTTTCATTCCTCTACGCACATTTTTAGGATACTCAGGTCACAGGTTGGCTCAGATTTATCAGAGTAACATGAAGAAAATTGGAGCTCTTAAGCAGCAGTGAGCACCACAACGAATCAAAGCAAATCAAAGCCAATAGATGATGAGAGCAACACTGGCTCTGCCCGCTCATCATCTGCTTGCTTTTTATCTCATCCTCAGAAAGAAATGCAAAAAACTTTTCAGGATACTAAAAGAAATGAAGCCACATTTCAAACACACGAAGAGGAGAGACTGACCCTCCAACGATGAGCTTCACCATGACTCTGTACGAGACCATGATCCCCAGAACCTCCTTCAGCACGCCGTCTTTGACACTGAAACGGAAAAAACGATTGAAAGCTTCTTTTTTAAAAATCCTAACTGAGCATCAGCGTTTGGAGCTGACTGACTGCTCACATGCTCGAGGAGGCCAGGTTGGTGTCTTCATGCTTCAGTTTGCCATCCAGAGCGATGCCCCTCCTCTCCCTGTTGTTGGCCAGCAGAGGCAGCATCGTGTAGACTTTCTGCAGCGTCGCTCCAGGAGACACCGAGTCCCTGACGAGAAAGAGCAGATAAGCTTTAAAGGAAACACACAAAATAATCAAAAAGTTAAAATATCAGCAAAATTTAATGTTAAGTTTTTTACAAAATATCTGAGAAGTCCTGTTAATTTACTTTAAAAGATCAGAACTATAAGGCACAATGAACCTGAAGGTGTCTAACAATATGATGAAAAGCACAATAAACAATTTGATCCTTGTTAATTCGAATCGATTCTGATTAAAAGTGGATTGCAATGGTTCAGATCAAACAATTAAAGGAAGCGTCTGTATTTTCTGTCCACTTTGTTCAAATTTATCCTAAAAAGAATAAAAGGATAAAAATAATATTTCAATATCTAATGATTAACCTGCTCGTGTGGAAGTCAGTTTTTCTTTTTGGGAGCAACAAAAAAGATAAACTGCATGATACAGGTAAGATGATGAGTTCAGTGTGTCCTGACTTTTACCCAGAATCCTCGATATCCACACATTTGGCATAGCTGTCATTGGAGTACAAAACCACGTTGGCAATCTGGTCAACTGGGAAAGACAAGACACAAAAAGACATGATGTTTAAGACATCAACTCTGATGTGTTTCCACATGAACCTCTGCGAAATAAAATGAGCTCTTAAGTGTCGCGTTTACCGGAGAGGATGATGTTCTTGATGTTCTTGCTGGAGTTGTTTGTGACGCTAACGTGAACTTTGATGGGCTCACCGTGATAGTAAACCTGAAACAGGACACAGGGTCGGAGGACGTGAGCAGTGTCAGGATTATTCCCTGAAACTGATCAAAAACTAGTTGAAAAGGGAAAAAAGTCACAGAAAGCAACAATGAAAACCCGCCAAACCCTTCATGTTCGAGTAGCAGATAAAAACACGCCAAAGCTATGAAGTATCTGATCAACTGAAGCTTCAGACTTTGGACCCACCTCTTTGTCCAAACTGGCCTTGACGTGCAGCGGTTTGTCCGACATGACAAAGTCCCTGGTGGTCTCGACAGAGGGCGCTATCCCCTCGCCCTCCGGAGCGTACTGCACCTTCCTGAGCATCAGCTTCACTGTGCTCCTGTTGTACCAAAGAGGACAAAATCATCCACGTTAGATATTGTTCACTTCCAGCTGTGTTCCCGGCTCCTACCGTCCGATCGGACCCGCTGACACTCACCGTTTGCGTACTTTGGCGTCCTGGCTCTCAGCGCTGAACGCCTTAATCTCAAACTCCACAGCACATTGCTGCAGAAGAGGAGAGACGAGAATGCTTCACCAGCCTGTGAGGCATTCGTGTCATCACTGCTGACTCATGAGTTTGAATCTTACCTTTCCGACATCACTGGGTGCTGGCTGCAGGGCCACTGAGCACGGCAGGTTATCGGGGAACTGCAAAGAAGAAAAACAAACGTCATCCACTGAATGCAGACAGTTCTCAGATCAAACAAAGTGAAATAAAACTCCTTCACAAACAGCTTGTTCTACAAACGTATGACTGTATGGAGACTGAGACAGAACCAATCATTTCCTCTTATGTGCCAGCATGTTAACGTCTGTCTGTGATCCATGAACCAGTCACTTGTCCTTAACGGTTACAGTGATGATGTCACCACACTGGGCCTTAACGTTCAGCTCAGGTAGCAGAACGTCGAGCCGTTTCAATTATTCTTATTCTTTCTGCCACAAAATCTCACCACACTCCTGAGATTTGGCAAAAACATGACTTTAACCCAACACGCCTGCATCTGAATGTCTATCTGATTTTCTCCTAAGGCTGTAGTTCCTGTCCGTGTTGCACTGTGTGCTTAAAAGGATTTTTTTGTCTTCATCTCATCCATCTCTGAGTACTTTCCCCTGCTTACTTCAGCAGATTTAAACTCAGGACTTTGGCTGTTTGCAGTTTAATTCTATTTGAAGTTTCTGCCTGTCTGCAGTGCCGCTGAAGTGTCACCTCGAAGAAGAACGGGTATGAGTTGTTTCCCAGCTTGCGCAGGAGCTTGGCCTGGACTCTGGTGTGGATACCCTTCTCGCGGTCCTGCAGGGGCGGGTACACCTGCCGGGTGGCCAGGTACAGCTCCCTGCGGAAGGCGATTCCCATCACATCCATGTCATCTCTGCCGTAGCGGAAGGTGCACGACAGCGTGACGAACACTAGAGGGCAGAAGAGACAAATCAGTTCAAAACTCTCCTTTATATTTTTATATTTATATGACTGGAATCTCTTTGAATCCGAGTCCAAACAGTCAGGTAGGCAGCGATTTCGTTATTTTCATATTTAACCAAAAAACAATGAGAAGCAACTTTTCAAAGACTCGTCAGGCTGAGTATCAGGAAACTGCAGCTAAAATAATGAATCTAAATGTAACTCTTTTAATCCAGTGTGGCTGTGGCCATGGACATATATGCAAAAGAAACTGTCCAATAAAATGAGCTCTGGTGTTTTGTACAGACCTTTCCTCCCCTGCAGGGCCTCCGGGTCAATGAGGATGACGCCATCTAGTGGTAAAAATGAGATTTTCAATAAAACAAATTTACACTTTCATGTAAAAGGATGATCAAAATATTCAAACAGCAACGTAAAGACATAAATAGATGCAATAAAGTTTCAATCCATATGCTAACATAGCTGGACATTATAAATGCCATTTATTTTAATTTGTGCTGGTTATTTACTTTGATTATTAGTTTGATTTACCAGAAGTCCAGCTGTCATGTTTCTATTCTCAACTTTGAGTTCAGTAAATTACACAGAAAATTCAACTGAACAAAAAAAAACCCCAAACAAGCCAAAGGCTCTGCACCATCAGTGCTGGGGTCCGCGCTACATCACAGGCAATGTCGAGGTTTTTCCCCCATTTAAACAACAGACTCACCCAGTGGTTCCACAGAATCAACACGGTCCACAAAGTCTCTTTTCCCCATGTAGACTCCAACCTGAAGGAGGAAAGAAAGTCTTGAAACACCACATCCCGGAAGCATCACCGGCTGATGCTAAACACACCTCAGGTTGTCTGCTCCAATTTGCTTAATGACCGAGGTCTACAATGACCGTGATCTGAGTGCAGACACCTGCAGCTCAGGTGGGACATAGCTCAACTAATAAATCCGAGTCGGCATCACAACAGGTCTGATATCTGATCCTCCTGAAGAACAGACGAATGCAGAAAGTACACGTGGGCTGGTTGCAGGGACTCCCACACACTCGAAAGAAGTTAGAGGCGAGGTCAGAGGAAACATATCAGTCAAGAAACTTTCAGCTGATAATTCTAAAGTGAATTCAGCCTTTCAGCAGAAACTGTGTGATGAGACTGACCAGCTGATGACATATTCATTGTTTCTGTTGTTTTGTTGTTGTTTATTTAGAATAACTGAACAAGAATATTGTTTTAAAAATGAAAATAATGAAAAAAATTTAGAAAAAAAGGTTTACATTAAAAACTCGATGATATTCAGACTGATGTGAAACAGACAAACTGCAAACACTAAAGCGATGGAAGCATTTTGGTAAATATGAAGTTACCATATAATGAATAATTCATTCTTTGTTATTATTTATTCAGATTCATATCTTTTCTAAGAATTCATAAAAGACAAAGCGCTCTCCAGCAGTGTCACCTGAGCCTTAGCATTTCCGACAGGCATGATGTTTTTGTTATCCAGGTGTTCCCAGCCTGTGGGATACTGACAGAGCTCAGCACAGGCTGTACTGAGGTCAGACATGTGCTCGATAAACAGAGCGAAGCCCTCGCTGCAATAAAGCCATCATAAATCAGCTCACGTTGTCGTGTCGACCTTCAGAGGATCAGTGAGCTGAGCTGCTTCACAGAATTAAAGTTACTTTCATTGAAGCGCTGGAGAGAGAGAAGGGCGTCGGAAATGATGTCTTCTATACACAGAAGCAGCAGCATTAAGAGTTATATTTCCACTCCAACCACAGCCTGCTTCTTCACTGGGACATCCTCGTTGTGCTGCTCAGTGTAGTGTGATTACACAGGATATTACTGCTGGTGGTAGAATGCCACTGCGGCAGTTAGATTTAGGCCTGTGCCACAATTTAACCATAAAGCCATGACTACATACAAATGACATCACTTGTCTTTTGTTGCTGATGATTGGTTCCAGGCTTCAGCCAATAAAAAGAATTCTTTGCTTGCCACTTCCATCGCTCACCTCAAAGCTGAGACTTGTTACTCATTATACATTTGAAGTTTTAACTGTTTGCTTTGTTAGATTTAAGAATCTCAGCTATTAGGGTTGGGCTTATTGCAACATCGGGCTTTGGATTAATGCCCTGAGGTCGTCACCGGTGACGAGCTTAACACTGACAATACGGCACATTCAGACAGGTTTAAGGCTCAGAGAACCTTTGATGATAGATCTCACAGAGAGGCAACGAGGCAACCTTTAAATGATTCAGGTTCACCTCCACCTGTTTCCCAAATTAAAAACCTCTTAACAGAAATTCTATAATGAGACGATTCTGGCTTCTGTAAATGTGTCTCTTTGTCATGTGGCTAAAACAAAAACAAAAATGTAGATGTACAGAGTTGAAAAGAAAAGGACGAGGAAGAAGCAAAAGAAAAAGAAAAGTCTTGAAAATGAAGCTTTTCATTGATAAATATCAGAGAATGCAGTTTAGTTGTATGACAACATGAATAAACATGACTGTCAGCTCCTTTCAGTCTAGAAAATCCTTTCAGGAAATCACTCACGGTTCTAATTTTACTGAGAAAACTCAACCAGCTCACCGACTTGTCCTTGCAAACCTTCTTGAAAATCACATTTTTGGGGCTCATCTTGGTTCAGACTGAAGGAGGCTGGTCCGCGGTGCCTGACAGAAAGAAAGGAATAACTTGACTGACAAAGCGTGCGACATCACAGCAACGTCTAAAAACTCAGAATGTTTGAAAACAAATTCCATAATTTCACCTCCATTCTGTCTAATTCTTGATTTACTCAACAAAATAAGAAAATGTCAAGTTGATGGTGAACTAAAAATCTGTAAAACCTTTTCTTGCCAACCAAATATTGTCTTTGTCCTCCACGTGTGAGCTACAAACGCACCTCAGTTATATCTTTCACTAAAAAAAAGCCAGTTTCCATAAAAATCGCCAGTGAGAAACATTTTCACTGATTGAAAATAGAAGTAGTCAGTAGTTCCTGTGACACTGCTAGAAACGTGTTTTGCTGATGATTCAAAGTAACCAGGAGAGATTTGGACACCAAAGATGAAGAAAACAGGAAGTCAATCAGGGAGAAATATGAGTCAGTTTGTCACAATGTACATGTGGACTGTAAGTTCATTCAGGTACATATTTATTCTTATACAAGCCCTGCGGTAGACACCAGGGTGTACCCCACCTATCACCCTGAACTGAAAGCAGAAGAAGATGGATGGACGGGTGGATGGAATTATATGTACAAAAAGACACATTTTCACGATGTGTTATTTATCTATGTCTTTGTTTGTTTGTCCATCCACACGGATAAACGATTTCTCCTTGCTGATTTAATTACCCTGAGATAACCGAGAGGTTTGATCAGACTTAACTCAGTTAATCCTGTTAAAACCTTCTCAGAAGTCTGTGACCTCGTCTCAGTGAAAGCTACACCTGCTAACATCTTCAAAATCGCTTTGGGACGACGTGAGGAAGTCTGCATCCACGAAGAAACGCCGTACTTCCAATAATAACAACAACTGAATAAAGAGCACGTGTCAGTGCTACTCATTTGTATTCCAAAATCTGACTGAAATAAGATGATTTTTTAATGCAAAATAATTTCTCATGACATCAAAACTAATCAGCAAAAAAAAAAATCATCCACAATTTGAGAAATCTGTAGTTTCTTCATTCAGTCTTAAATGTGTCTGAAGTCCCAGAAATCATTTTTTGCTTAGAAATAAAACATGTCACATGTGTAGCCCAGTTAGTTTTATTTAATTTTAGTTTTATTTATCCTACAATATGAAGAATAAACATTTACTTTTTAAACTCAGGGACAAACTTTTTTTAATTTGAGTCTTTGTCTCAAAAAACCAAGTGACAAACTTCACCCAAATAATCAGATAAAGTGAGTTTTAATTATGTATTTTTTTATTTCTAAGCTTGAACATGAAACCTTTGATCCTGAACTTTGAAGATAATTGTGTCTATTTTAGTTTGAAACTGAATAATAAAACAGAAGCAGAATTATTTTGTTTTAAGATACGATAGATAAGATACCTTTATTAGTCCCACAAGGGGAAATTTTGAGGATATTAAATAAAGCGTCACGTTTGTTGTTTTGGTTTGGTCTTTAAAGTTTCTCACAGCAGAGCTCTCTCTGTCTCTCTCTCTGTCTCTCTCTCTGTCTTTGTTGGAATCACAGGCTTTTGCTCCTTTTCAGGGCTCCTGGAGGAAACTTTAGCAGCTCAGTTTAATAACAGTTCCTTTTGTACTGACAGGTTTAATCTGAAAGACCCTCCAGGATCTACAAATGTAAATATAAAACAGGAACACCTTGGATGTGTCAGAGGACTCACCTGTGGTGCGCAGGTGTGCCGAGGCTGGATCAGAGACAGGAGTCTGTCCCCGAGGCTCTATATGTAAATGCCTGCTGTCCTTCACAGCTTCTCTCAGCCAATCAGGTGACCCAGCGGTGAACTTTGACCAGCCCTCAGGACCTCCCTCCCACTTTCTTCACCTACAAACCTCCACGCGCAGACAGATGGACAGACAGACAGAGACAGACTTCAGTGAATGAGCTGACTGAGAGGATTGAAGCTGGTTATCCTCGGTCAGCACAACGAGGCTGGATTAGACCGACGGACGTGACAGAGTGAGGAGGTGCAGGGAACAAAACGTGCTTTCAGCCTGTGTTTTACTTCACGTTATCTCTTTTAACCCATTCAGCTTTCATCAGCTTTACACATTTAAGGTGCTGAATTATTTCTGTCAGGGCAAATGTATTCATGCACTTCAGCTCATGCAGTGGAAGGTTTTGAAAGTGATGTAAAATAAGGATGAGCATTAACAAAATAAGTTGATGACTGATAATAAAAAATAATCTTTATTATAAGATTTATTATCAACATCCTTTATTAAAAGTGTTAATTGATTACTTTGGAGTTTAATTGTACATATTTGTTTTTGCTTGATTTTTTTCTGAGTAAAAAAAATGCCATGCATAAAAGCATAGACTGTATCTAAAAGATGGACTCAGCCAAGGTGGCTCCATTTAGGAGCCTCAGTTTCAGCATCACGGTGGTCAGCATCTTCTTTTGTTCACTATTTTTTATACCTACATTTTATCTCCGTGTTCGGACCCAGGAATGGCCGATGACATCAGACATATAATAAGCAGACAGTGGTTAACGTTTACATTTAAACTAAGCCAATGCTCCTTTAACCATGTGATTTATGGAGGACAGAAATGAGGCAAAAACCAAAATCTGTGTTTAACACATGTATAAATCATGCGCACAACGACAACAGAACAAGCTTTTTAAAACAGGCCATTCATTTATTTACTTTATCGCTAAACTAATGTGTATAAAGTTCTTCCACTTTTGTAACACAATCAAATCTGTCTCGCTACGTTTCAGGTTGGGTTTACTTCACACTCCTTCATCAGAGACAAATTGTTATATTTCACAGTCTTTGGTTTTGAGTGTGAAACTAAAAGAAAAAGGGAAACACGTTCAGACTTTTGATAGGGACTGTGTGTGTGTGTGTGTGTGTGTGTGTGTGTGTGTGTGTGTGTGTGTGTGTGTGTGCTGTAATCTCCGGTGTAATAATGATGATGAAAGTGCTGCAGTAATCCACCTGTCTGTTTACCTGCTGACAGGCAGGACAGTGGATTAAAGCTCAGCAGCATCACTCTGCCTATATATAGACCTGTGAACACACACACACATACACACATACACACACACGCATATACACACTTATTTTGCTTTCATATGCAGATTTCAAATACTTTAGAAGTTTTCTCAGACAAAATATTTCTGCATGCACTGAGTTATACATAATAATTACATGTATATTGATAATTTAAGCCTCTGGCACAAAGGCTCAGATCTCAAACTGCTACAAGGAGCTGCGCCACAGAGAAACTCAAAATAATTAAGAGACACAATAAAACCAGAAATAGAAAAAAGCACAAACACACATAATCTGAGTCCTCAGGATTCCCTGGATGATTGAACATGCATCATTGTCTAGTGCAGACCTTCCCAAAGTGTGGGGCCCGCCCCCTAGCGGGGGCGCAGAGCCATTGCAGGGGGCGCGGTATAAAAATGGGGGAGGGGACAAAATGCTTGGACACTGCTAGCACGGGTGTCCACAGAAACGCAAAGCAGGAGACGAAGCATCACTGAATATGTTTCCAAACCAACTTCATTCTAAGCCAAAGACCAGAAAATATGGTGAAGCAAATCTGCCCTTTGGCTTCACCTGCACAAGTGCTGAGGTAGGTCTCCCTGCAGGAATAGTTTCCCCTCCATCAGAGCAGCGCTGGGCTGTTCAAATCACTGACAAACAGGATCCCACAGCTGTTTATGTTTTTAAACCCATTTTGCACAGAGAGGCATTATTTGAAATATGTATTGACAGCAATGTTGAATATTATATAATATTCAACATTATTACACATGAAAAAAAACAACTACAGTAAAATAATGACACTGTGACGCCTCTGCCTTTGTAAATAGAGGGACAGTAACTGCGTGTAAAACCTGCAGACAGTCAGATTAACAGTATTTCGTCTCTATCTGCCATTCTGCAATTCATCGCATGTAAACAATAACGTGGCGCACATCCTGACGTGTAAAAGGGCGCATACCTTTGACGTTGTGTGATGAACTCTGTATTCCTCGTCCACACGTAAACGCAAAAAAGGAGTTTTAAAAATCTCCATTTTCGGTGATTCGAAACACCGTTTACATGTGGACGAAACAGCTGCGTGTTCAAAACTACCCGTGTAGGTGTGGACGCAGCGTAAAAGACTTAGTAGTTTATTTTATTACTGCCTGTAATTTATTGCAGATTACTTGTATTTGCTTAATTGTTTACTAAATGTTTGAGGTGTGAAAGAAACCGCAATGGAGCAAAATATGAGTGTGTGTGGTTGGAGGATGTTAGTGCACGTGCCCGCGAGGGGGGGGGGGGCGCGAACATTTTTCTTGTAAAACAAAGGGGGGCCCAGCAAAAAAAGATTGGGAGCCACTGGTGTAATGTAACATGTGGCTGGATACAACAAGCTTCACCGTAGCAGTGAAGGTGCAGTTTTTCTCTATGAATAAATGTTTCTGTCGTAAATGAAAGACGTGTGTGAGCATGATTTAAAATGTAAACAATGTGTAAAATTACAGGAAAGGAGAAAGTTTCACAAAATTAATCCACAAACAATTCTTGTTGTTTCTTAGTTCAGACCAACGATGAAACAAACAAACTTATACAGACGATGATAAAAAAAACTGGAACTTTTCTGCCATTTAAATGTTTATTTATGATTTATGACTTTATGATCTTTAACAGAAGGAGAAGCTGCAAAACTTTAACAATACAATCCAGAGTCCGAATTTAATGCACTCCAGGATGTTATTGGCTTAAAAACTGCTGGAGCTGCCATCGTATTAGTGTCCATTAGACACTTCATTACAGGCAACCTCATTAACAATGTCTGCTTTAATAAACACATTTGGCTTCAACATTAGGACTTCATTAAGCAGCTGGTGGAAAAGCTCCATGTAACACTGCTGTGAGCATCATTTAACTCAAACAGTAATATACAATTTTACACAAATTGCACCTTTAACTGTCCTTTTGTCTTCTGGAGGATTGTTTACTTTCAAAATGATTAAAATCACATTTAAGAAGCACAAAAGGCAAATTCAGCAACAAAAGAGATGAGAAAGCAATGAAAAAAGAACACAAACAGAAGCAAAACTAGTACAAAACGCATCTCATGAACATGACAACTGGTTTAGATTAATTGCATTTTTACAGTTTTCTCTGTGTTTTTATAATTACTGGTGAATTTACTGACAAATCAGAGGATTTTCAGGAAGTCCGTTTATAGAGGTGAGATGTACCTGTCAGGATTCATATCTGAATATTTTAAAATACCAAATAAATATACAGTACATGAATGTTTGTATAGAAAAGCCACATCCATGCAGAAGATCTGCATTCAATATGAGTATTGTGGTTAAAAAATAGCACAACACCTCAATTTCTTATGTAATACAAACTTTATTCCGATAAAAACAAACTGCACACAGGGTTTCCAGAATCACAAACAGTTGTATCGATCAATATAATCTGTAAATCTTTGTGATTTCTTTAAGATTTAAGATTTTCTTTCAAACACAAGTTAGAAAAAATGACAGAAAAACACAGAACGCTGGTCTGAGTATCAGGTGCAGACAGACAGTACTGCATGGTCGTGTTGTTATGACATCGTGGGGACCATCCAAAGCACAAAGTTTGCATTTAGACGTAAGCTTTGGCGTCTGGTTCTGATTTGGCTGTGGGCGTGTACACCTTCTGTGGTGCATTTCCATAATAACCGCTGCAAAACAAGAAATACAAAGTCAGACAGATTCTCAAAGCAGCAACATCCCCGGACTGGAACAACTGAAAATGTCAAGAGCTCAACAATAAAAAGTAACGTGTTTACCTTTTCTTCACCGACGCTCTCTTACACGCCGAGCAGAGAAAAGCTCCGCCCAGCATGGCCAGACAGGCTCCAGCCCATCCCATGTAGAGGCCGGTGCCGAGCTCGAACCTGGAAATGACGTGAGAATTATTAACAGACAGAAATCAGCTTAAACGTAAGTTTCAGGCAGAAAACGCTCAGATTTACTTGTTTTACTTACATTTAAAATGCAAAAAAGATCAAATATAACAAAATAAAATCAGATTAAATTAACATTTAAAGCTGTGTCATATTAGTTTATAGCATCAAAAACAAATTTATTAATGGAGGAATTAAAAAAGGACTCAGCTGTCCCTTAATGGCAATCATCGTTTCTTTTTAACTCTGGTATTTCTCGTGAGATCAAAATTCAGCATCTGTGTGGTGAACGTACTTCATTCCACCGTAGAACGGATCGTTGAAGTCATTCACCACTCTGGCTGCGTACCAGGAAGCAGCTACCAGGCAGCAAAGACCTGCAGACACAAGCACAAAGTATTACAGCCTCACTTCCTTTCTTTCTTCGTCTCTTTCCACCACCTGTGAGTGCACTCACAGCATCGCATCACCAGTTCTTACTAAAAAATGTTTCTGTTTCACTTTACTTTTGTTTCGTTTCCACCACACAGCATGTTTTATTTTGTACTTTCAATGTCTTTTTATTATTTTTATACCTCTGACTCAACACTTCCTACAAATATAACATTCAATAAACACTCAGTTTACCTCTTTTAAATTTGAGTTTGATGAGTGTTTTATTGAAGGCTCTTCACTTTGCCAATGGACGACTGTAAGGTGACAGTTCCTACGTTTGATTGGTGTTATATATAAAAAAACACAAACGTGAATCAATAAACTTTAACTACACAAGAGGGGAAAAAGAGGAAGGAGCTTGGCTTTAATCCTGGGAGAGAACCGAGCATGAAAACATCATCTCATGCTGCAAAAACCATTTGTGCTTTAACCCTACACGGGGATCGTATGAGGGCCTCCACGTGTCTGTGTTACTCAAGAGGATCCTTTTTATTTTGGTCCTTTTCTTAATGCATTATCTAATAAATAGCACGGTGCACTTCGTTATACTGACAGCTCATCCAAAAAGTCTGTGCTCCAGTTTTACTGAGTAAAACTAGGATCTAACTTGTGTGTTTTTCAGCACTAATCTGCAAATATCTGCTTAGTTGGAGAACAACATGGAGAGAAATGCTCCAGGTTTGCAGACTGTGCAAACACGTCATGTCAGTTTTGCTCAGGCAGAATCATTTCTTTGATATATCTGTAAATGCATCCAGTGAACAAATGAAGAAACTTCACTGAAACAAAAGAAAGAAAGAAGAACAAAAAACTTGCAGAGCTTCCAACTTCCAACATCTGTAATACATCAATATATAACAATCCACAATAACTCTGTTGAGCTTGGAAAGAAAAACATTGAATGCAAAAATATCCAAATATCGAAAACTTATGATAGTATTTTGTATTTTGTAGTAAATTTCTGAGTGTCTTAATAATAGAAAATCAATTAACCTTTTCTTGACTTTCTCTTCAGACAAAGTTTTCTGTGTTAGTGTTTGCAGCATGTGAAGTGACAGAGATGAACCGTCACACTCACCGGCCAGGATGCTCAGGATTCCTCCAATGGTGGCGATCTTGGCCTTGGATTGTTCAGTCTTTGAGCCGATCTTGATGCACTTGAGTCCAAGCAGAGCGACAATCATGGAGCCGAGGCCGAACAGCAGACAGATGATCATCAGGGCACGACAGGCCTGTACATGGACTGCAGACACAGAAAGAAGTCATTAATTATTTTTACATACTTACTCGGGGTTTGTGGGTAATTGTGTAATTCACATAGAAACAGAGCCTCTGCAGCCCTGTTCATGGAAAACACACCCAGCAAGTTACAAACAGATGATCAGTTTTGTGTAAACACAAAGAAACTGAGCGCTTGATGGGAACTTTTTCAGTGACAGGTTTGTCCTTTGAGTTCTTTCTGTTCATCCCCCTGTTATTACCTATTGTGCTGTGTGACAAAACCTGATCTAGACTCGTTGGAATCAATAAATAATTTATTCTGAAACCTGTTTTTTTGTTTTATTTTATATGTGAACATAGTTTTCATGCAAAACAAAGTGAGGCGAGCTGTAATCAAACCTTAAATGTCAAAAAGAACGAAAAATACTCCAGCCGGTGACATAAATCCCAGTAAAACCAGTCCTAACTTCCCTTGACTCTTTATTTTAAATGTAATATAAAACAAACAGGGAAATAACTACCTGTGCAAAGGTAAATATATATATATAAATATATAACCACCTGTTACTGTAAAACTCATTTATATGTTTACATCTTTATTAAACGTTTATTAAAAATACACAAAAGCTAAACTGTTTCAGGAAAAGGAGGAACTGGCTGTAACATTAGGTGTGTATTTGTGTGTTTTACAGCTGCTGCAGTCATTTATTAACCAGATGACCTCTGCTGATCATTAGAAACAACTACCACACCTCTTTATGAGCTTCAGGGAATTTCAGGAGCAATGGTAGGTAAGCTGGTAGGAGTCACACCGAGTAATGATGATGAGTTTGGTTTCAACAGCCATTTAAACTCAGACAGGTACATAAATATATGACACTAAACACCTTTATAACACCAGTTATGTGGACAAGCTTTCTAAAGACGTTCAAAACTCTCAAAGATTGTAACTTTGAATCTTTTATACTGGAGTATTTCATTAGAGCCTCAATTGCAGGAGGAAACCTGGCGTCTCTTTACGTCACTATGTAGGAAAAAGTGTCGAGAGATTTGATGAGTTTTAAAAATACAAAAAACCATCAAAAATAAGCCTCCAGTCTGCTTTTAGAGATAAACCTGCTGAACCCACATTAAGGTCCAAGTAAAGTAAAGAATGAAGAAACATGCTGAGCTGTTTGTTTGGGGGTTTTTAAGTTTCTTTGTTTCTGCCCATTTTGCTTTCAACAGAGAAAACTCAAGATGGCGTCCAAAAACTATCCTTGTATAACAATTACTGAGAAAAAGTCAACATAACACAATCCAACAATAACCTTTATTGACCAAGCTAAGATTTCTCTGACGATTTATAACAAACATTTTAATAAGAATCTATTTTCCTTTTTACTTTAGGCGGGAAACATCGGGCTGTAAAACCGGCAGCAACCTTTGGACGACAAATTCTGAAATGCTGCCACGCGACACGCTGGCCTATTTTCTAAACAGGCAGTATGACAAGGTTTCAAAGAGCTTTACAGAGATACGACACCTTTATAGCTTTATGAGAGAAACTAAACTGTTTGTCTGGTGGGGCCTAAAAGCTCTGAGCACATCCTGTTTCCTGGGACACGATTGGTCAACAGTTTAACAAGTTTTTTTTATTCTGTTTGCTCATCTCCTGTTCTGCTTTTCATAGACACTAATGCTGCTTTTAAAGCAAAATATAATGATGTCATAAAATAACATTATTTTGTTATCGGGTTTGATCAGAGTGTCTGACATCGACTCTCAGCTTGAGATAAGTAACAGGAGGACTTGAGTGTCTGGTCTTACCGGGGAGGGACAGCATCGATTCAAAGTCCCGGCATTCGGCGATTCCCGCGCTGTTCTCAGCACAGGCGTGCCACAAGTTTTCAAACTGCCTCTGAGAGATGATCACGCTGCCGGACACGGTGGAAACCTTCCAGTAGTCGTTAACCAGCGCCGAACCGTTAACCAGCCAGCTGATTATGCACATGATGAACCCGACCGCTTCCACTGCTGTCGACATGATTACAGATGTTTCCACAAAAATTACTTAAAAAAAACACAGCAACTCTCCCCAAAAAATCCAGCGACCACAAATAGCCTAACAACAGCAACGTTCACAAGAGCATTAACAGGGAGTAACTCTGTCCTCTAAGCTGAAGCCTTCAGGTAGTCAGGAACAGGTGGAGGTGATGGAGGCTCTGGTGTCGCTCTTTCAGTTACGTCCTGTTAATCTGACATCTGGTGCTCCAGCACAGGGACTTTACTCTAACAGGGGCCATAAACTGCAGGGCCACTCCTTCTGTTCCCCCTGACCACACACCAATCGATGACAATGATAGATAATGTAGCCGAGTCTTCAGCCACACCTGAGTCACAATGATCCACAGGTTTTTATTATTTTGAGAGGGTTTGTGTTCTGCAGAGGACACTGGGTATTCTTACTTGGGTCCTGGAGCTTTCGATTATTTTCTTTTTCTTTAAAATGCAAAAAGTTGTGGATGAGTTGCGGCAACGTTGCACAGCCTACAATATTGGAGGTTATTTTATTAGCAGATCACATGTAGGGTAATGTGCTTCTTTACAAGCATATTTTAAAATTAATTGATGAACTGCTGCTGTGAGCGTGCCACAGGAAATAGAAATGTAGAAATGATCCAGCATTTTGTACTTTCAGTTTGCTCATCTGGATGTCAGTTTGTTTTTCAATGAGTTTTGTTTTGATGCTTTATTAGTAACACAAGTTTTACAAGATAAAATATATCAGTAAATATCCTATTTGTGAATTTTGAGGTATCTCAGATTCAGTGTTCATATTATCAGTAATCACAGATCTGTGTCCAATTTAAAATTCCTGTCAAAGAATTTCAATAAAGAAGTGAAATAAAGAAAGTGAGACTGAGTGAAGTCAGTTATCGAGCAGCTGTTATTGCTTTGAAACCGAGTTCCCCACATGCCTGCTCAACGTCACCTCCACCAGCTGTTTTATTGTGTGGCTCTGACCTAACCTGTGCTGGAGGGAAGTGAAACTATGCCACTTCATCTGTTCTTAAAATCCTTCACCACACTGAACCCTAAACTGAAGTTCATACTTGACAAACTTCATCAGTAAAGCAGGTGCTCTCTGGTTTCTGGTCGATGAGAACAGGAGAGGAACAGAAACGTCCCGGTTGCACTGCTGAGTCAGCTAAACAAGAGAAGTGTACCAGAGTCGCCTGCCGTGCCTACTAATGACATAATCTTCACTGAAACCATCGTGAGCCACGCAGTGTAACCACCAGAAATATTATTCTCTATATTTCTTTAACATTTAATTCGCTAATCTTCCTGATTAAACATATTTTGTAACACTAACTACACGAGAAAGCAATAGAAACATACTTGATGCAATTAGCTTTGAAAGGTTTGTGTGTGAGTCATACGTGCTGATTTCAGGCTGCAGACGGCAGGTTAGCAGGTTGTATGAGATGCTCGAGGTTTTATAGTTTTATGGTTGACAACAGTTAATATTTGATCATCATGAGAGTCCAAAGTCTGACTTTTATAGTCTTTGTATCACCAGAGAGAAAAGAGACTGGCAAAAACAAACAGGTAAATCACGAACATGGTGCACAACATTTAACATAAGGGAAAAAACTGTTACACACCCAGATACACACATTGAATGTCCTTATTTTTAAATGAACAATAACATTTGCAGAAGTTGCTTTTACAGTTAAATGGACATCTATGCAAAACCGCTCCTGCTGTGAAGAAGCAGGTCAGCTTATCAGTTCTTCAGTTTGTAAAGCTCTTATTCATCTCCTTTTCTGCCCTTCCTCGGCCATGATGCTCTATATCTCAACTCGTCACACAGTGTACAAAACGTTAATCACATTTTAATGCATTTCATGCACGAGAACCATTTTTCAACATGCACTGAAGCCCCTCAGCACGTCGAAGACACGCCATGAGACAACAGCCTGTGAGTTAGCCTGTTAGTTTCAGGCAACTAATTGCATCACATCAGGTCTAACTGCAAATGCACAACATCACAGGGATAAGGTCCAAACTACAACCACGGGACAGTTATTAAAATGAATGTATGAGAGGAGCGCCCGACTGTACATTCAGCCTTAATTAGGCTGAATGTAGCCTTAACTACTTAATTAATTGGTAGTTTTAAACACTTATAACGGTATTTTGAAAAGAATGGATAAGTCACAACAAAGTCACCATATTATTTTTTTAAAAGGCCTTTCAGGAAAATTAAATTGGTGTGATTTAGAAATATGATCACTCGACAATAAAACAAAGCTCGTATGACTCGTGACCTACATTTGCAGTGCTTTTGCTCCTTCCTGCCTGTGGGTGGTGCTGTTCATCCAGTTCTTTGTTTTAAGTTATCCGAGCTCTAAGCTGCAGTCACCAAATCCAAACAGACGATCCTGTGAGCAAATGTTTTGGCTCTGAAAGAACAAGATGAGCAGCTGTGTAAATATTGCAGATGTCTTCTTTAAAACCCTGCAGGGCTGTGAAGCATCTTCATTTGTGCCTTTTGCTTTTTGTTTTGGCTTCAGCACTTGTTGTTTCTTCTTCAGTCACCTTTCCTCACTCATCATGTGGTTGTACACCTCTCTGCATTCAGTCAGTAGTTATTATTCATCTCTGGCTTTCTACTGCAGCATGTCTTTTGAAAAATATTAGACAATGATACCTCGAGTAAATCAAAGTACAGCATTTCCAGAGATATCCAGACCTACTTGGCCCTTTGTCGCCACCCTTATGTTGCCACCATCCCTCATTAGCTCCTGTGTGTATTTAAAGGCTTCTGTTTGGCTGTGTTCTTTGATTGTGTTGTGTTGTCTTCTGCTTGTTTGACTCCCTGCATGTGTCTCGTTGCATTTTTATCTCTTTGCATTTTTGGTCTCTGCTTTGGATTCATGCTCAGGCTTGCTTCTTATTGGCTGGACTTCAGCCTTGTCATCTTGCATTTTGGCCATAACTCTTTTAGTGTGTCCCCCTCTGCACACCACCAGACGCTGAGGTGACACAGCATCTGGATGAAGTGAACGAGTGGATAAAATGTATTCCAGGAGAGATTAGGAGTGTGATTGTTATCTTTGTCACTTTAGCCCAGATTGTATCTGAGGATGTTACTTAAATTCATTTCTAAAATGCTGGTGTCAGGGCTGCTTATCTGCTTACTCACTATGTGGACTGAACAGAAAATAAGATCATGTTGTACATTTAAAATCTGATCTCAGAAACCGGCTGGTGTGTCAATCAGACACTTGTTTGCACTGGACAAGCAGCACTATGTACTGACTGTGTTAATACTGATAACAATCAGCGTTGATGATCTTTGTTTGTGTTACAGAAGCTCAACAGGCGTGTTATGAGTTAAGCCAGTAATTTACTGTTGACAGCTGTGCGCCTTGAGGGAAATCATAACAGGTCAGACCGGATCTCCAAATACACCCTCAGCATCCGGACACACTAGCTCCTCTCTGCAGGTCAGAGAAGAGCCGAGTTACAGAGAGACGAAAGACGCTTCTTACGAGTTTGAAAGAGGAGTTTGGCAGAAAGACGATAGACGAACTGAAACCTGTGATTTCACTGTGATCTTCCAATTGTCTTCAAGACCTGAGTGAGCACAGAAGGAGCTGGGTTATTTTGACAGAGATCTGGATTTTTAATCTCATATTAACGATCCGCCTGTGTGCAGGTACCTGCTCAGATTTGGCTATGAAGGAACCGACGGGCTCATTTCTCCCTCTGGTCTGGAGATAAGTGCTGCAGTCATGACTGTCAGTCTCCTGCTGCTGCTGATGACCCTGCTGAATTTCACAAATGGTGAGTTTACATTCAGCTGACACAGAGACCTGTCTGAGCCCAACACGCAATCACACGAAGGCTCTGCAGCATTAGGTGCTGTTCACACAAGATCAGCTAACAGGCTGGAAAATCCTCCAGGAGGGAGTCTGGCTGCTGCTTTACCAGGATTTGTTTTTGAATGGGATGGTTTATGGAGAGTCCACACACACACACACACACACACACACACACACACACACACACACACACACACACAAATAAATCTGGATACTTGATTAAAAAATTGTAGTTTATAAAACTGTTGTAGAAAACATTAAAACATTAAAAGGTTAAAAACCATATACCACTTAGGTTCTAAAGTTATAGTAGTCTGTGTGCAAACACACACACATTGTTGTGGTAACGGCATCATAATTACTAAGTTATTAATGGATATGTCAACTTCATGTTTCAGCTGGAAATGATTTCGCTTACTTATAAATGTGTCTATTCTTATCTGTATTAACACAACGTGATATATTTTTAAATCTGTAGAATAAGAAGTAATTACCAGCGGAGGTCAGTCGTATCTCTGTGACCTCCCTGTGAACCCCGTGAAGGTGCAGAAGCAGTTATGGTGTGCGCTCCACACACACATGAAACAGGAGTTTGTGTGATTGTTATAGCTGCCAGCTCGAATAATAAACAGTAACTTATTTACGCTGCACAAACTTTTAACTACGACTACTTATGTCTGTTTTTTTCTTTATTTTCTTTTATTAAACTTAATATGTGGCAGAATAAAACTGAACGGAAAACTCTGACATTATCTGATAATGTTGAAGCTGCTGTGGGTGTAACACTGCATTATGTTATAATAGCCCTGAAATGTTTTAAAGAAGCTTTCATTGAGTGTAATGGAAAGTCATAGCTTTATGCCTTTTATTGTTACATTTTAATTAGTTGAGCTGTTGCAGATGAACAAGCTCGGCTGCACCGGTGATGTCTCGGCACAACACGACTGAAGGAATCTGTGTTATCTCATGTTTGTTGAGTGAAAGCCAAGTGAGCAGTTAAAGCTATAGAGAGCATCATCATCATCATCTTTATTCATAAAGAACTTTAAAACGACTGTATGCATAAAGTGCATGAGTACAGATGAGTATGATTAGTCATGTAAATAAATACTAAACATCAAAAATTATTGGAGGTCTTCTAGTAAAATCTATCACAGATGAAGAATCTAATAATTGCGTTAAAAATGCACCTAAAGGCGTCAACGGGGCAAACACAGCAGACAGATCCAGGTTCAGGGAGTCGACTTATTTGAGGTGAAGTCATGTAAACAGCAGCAGTGTCACACACACGTCAGCCTAAGCCACCACAAAATTACTCAGATTTATAGATTTATTTATATTAAATACTTACAGCCCATATTCGTTTCCTCCCCCCTAAAAAATTTGGAAAATAGAAAATACATCAGTAATATAAAAGTGACACCAACACAAGAAAGTCCACTGCAGATCTTACATAAGTGTAAGTGGACTCTTGTATCAGACACTGGATTCTTGTACGCCACAGTCACTGAAGGAGGAACATCAGCTTCATTAGTATCCAGTCTGACATCCAGTAGATCTTAAAAATATTAATTCAAGCCTTTTGAATAAGTGTAACTTTTACAATAGTTATTTTTTAATGTTGTTTTCATCACATCTACCAACTAATAATACAGTTAATTTGACCATAAATGAAAATGATTGAGTTTCCTTTTCTCCTTTTCTTCACTGAACCCCGCTTTGAAAAGACCAACCTGCCTTATTTAAGATAAGATAGAACTTTATTAATCCCTCGGGTGGGTTCCTCTGGGAAATTCGATTTCCAAAAAAGCACAGCACCATCAGAAGTTACAGAGTTACAGAATATTATATATATACACACACACACACACATATATATAATACAGAGACAATATAAAAAAAATATACGAAGGGGATAAATAGAATAAATAGGAATAAAAAATAAAAAATAAAAAATAAAAAATAAAAAATAAAAAATAAAAAATAAAAATACAAGTGAATATTTCCCCTCATCCTGACGTCTGTGGAGCCAATGCAGACAGTCGCTCTGTCACGTACATGCAAGCAAAGCCGAGACGAGTGTGCTTTGCTCAGAACTCATGGATGCTCCTCAAAGTACTGATCATTACTATCCCTGCTATACCCGTGTAGAGCTGTACACTCTCACCTGGGCTCAGCAAGCCAAGTGAAGTAAAAACTGACATGCATGACATTTATGAACTTTGGGGGCTTTTCTTTATTATTTTGGGCTTTTTGAAACTTTACTTAATGATAACAATTTATAATGAATGCATTTAAAAATAGATACATTTTCCAAAATGAAGAACAAATATTATGTCTTAATGTCAAAAACCTCTATTTGTTATGCTGCAGCTGAACTGGAGTCGGTTTTACTATAATACCATTTGGTGCCAAAAGATGGTTTAGTGACTGCAGTTTAACTTGTTGCAGTGGGAGGTCAGTGGCAATAGTAACTACCAGTAAGAAGGAAACACCGATAGCTTGAGCACAGTCAGTGCAGCAATGCAGCGAATATGGACGTTCAGCAAGTTATGACTCATGCTGGGCTTTAGCATCAAGTTATGGCATTACTGCATTTTTCAGTGCAGGATGTTTTGAGGCACACGGTTAAGGCCAGATATCTTTTTCCCAAACTAAATGAAACCAATCAGAAAACTGGAAACACAAGTGCAAAACACAAAGTGAACCTTCTGACTAATAAGTCAGTGTGTGTAACGATGAGATGCAGGCAAACAGTATTAGATTAGATTGGGTTTATACGTGTCTGCAGCTGGAGCTTCAATTTCCTTTTTTAATATCCATCTGATGTTTTGATTAGTCATATGGCACCAGAGGATATCAGGACGTGTTCTGCTCATATTAAATTTGACTTAATATTACATTTTTTATGATACCTGATTTATAACATTCGATCTGACATTTTACTGTGCCTGCAGATGTTTGGACGCTACCGGCTCCTGGCAGTGTTTTCATGGAGTCTGTCGACATGAGACACATGCTGAGGTGGCCCCCCCTGCAGGCTTCATGCAACACTACACTTCTGTACTCTGTCCAGTATCAGGGGTAAGTATTGTAAAAAATGCTGATCAAATATTTGCTTACACTAGTCCCCAACAGAACATCCATATTGAATGATCCATATTAAAAAGTCATACACAAAACAAACTGATGATGACTTTTAAAAATATGAATTTTAGTAAGAACAGTTTGGAGCTCAAAGTCGACCTCATCCTGTAGCTCAATACAGAGAGATCACTTTAAAGACTTGAAACATGGTTTATTGAGGCAGAGTTTGGGGATTAGACTCCGATGAGACATCACGGCAGTCAGAATTCCACGGTGAGAGGATTTAGGACAGGACGCCGCAGAGTGTAGATGCAGGTGGTGGTGAAGATGAAGACTGAGGCTTGGATGGAGCTCTGACTGAGGTGTCTGTGAGGTGGAGATGGAGAGGAGGTGGGTTGAATGAATGAAGGCCTAAAAGCGGGACTGAGAGCACAGATTTAAACTACGCAGAGTAGAGGCTGATTGAACATAAAGGCGAGCAAGAAGACTGAGAGCCGACAAACAGCACCGACTCTCGTGTCTTTGCTGCAAACTGACAAACACAGAAATGACCAACAGGGTTTATTGCATGTTTGTATTTGTATACAACGACAGCTAAAACTAAATGATCCTGACAGGGAGACATTGTTCTTGATGTAATTCTAACCATGTGACCTAAAACAACAGGAGCAAAGAATGATCAGCAGGTCCGTCTGTGTTCAGAGCTGGACGGAAGTGTTTTTGCTTAGTGCTTTATTCTAGTGATTACAGCCTCAGTTTGTTCTAAGTCACCTGAGTGTAAGCCACAAAGATTACAGCTGTTCAGTCAGTAACAGTTTCATAACTGAGAGAATTTCAGTGTCTTTTCTCACTGCAACACAAGAGAGACGTCTAAAAAACACCTTTAAATTAACGAGTAAATAACTTCCAACAAATCACTAACAGTGAGATCATAAGACCTGTTCTAAAAACTCTCACCTGTGGTTCCACCCTCTTTTTCTGCTTTGGAGGCGTAGCAGCAGTGTAAGACCTGGCTATGGGTGTAAGGCTCGGGTATGGGTGTATGCACCCCAACAGTGAAAGCACACAGATGCATGCAGATGCAATGATGTTTATAAAGTTTTACAACCATAAACTTAATTACTCCTCTGCTTTTTATTATAAATATTTAAAGACAAAAATCATCCTGATGTAAAAGCTTTATGAGCTCACACCAAAACCTAACGATAGACAGGCTCAGCCACACCTCTGATCCTCTGATAAATGTCATAAATGCCACCAAACAGGTTGACTCTGAATCCTGAGTCATTGCTGTGCTAAATCTTCAGTGATGTGCAATAAACAACAAATGCAATGAGGACTGCTGCGTGTGTGGTGGAGGAGGTGGAGTCGTGCAGAGGTGTATTTTAAAAGGATTAAATGTGAATAGTTTCAAACTCCTTTAAATGAAGCTAATAAAAACAGCTTTATCAAAATTACCCAGCGAGTAGCAGGAGGGGAATCACTGAGGCAGGAAAGACATGAACAGTGACACTCAAAGAAGCTGTTACACTGCAGAGAGTCTGTTGGTTGTATTTGCTCAGACCTACGTTCCTCCTCAGCTCCAGCACCATAGTTTTCTTGAGAAGAATCTATTATTACCTCACTGTAGCTTCTCAGAAAGAGGAAGAAAGTTCAACCACAGGAGACAATGAGCTCACACAGTCGACATCATGTTTAGCATCTAAAGATGGTAAATGGACTGATTCTTATATCGCTTCTACTCAAAGCTCTGTAAACAACAGATTAACAAAATATGGAGATTAAAAACGGGGATAATTGGACTGAAATGCAACAGCTGGTCACAAATATGACTAAATGATCCATAAAGTGCTGGATGAAGAAATACGACTGTTATATGAACTTTTAGAGTCTCTGTTCTGTTCCCAAGAAATATCTAAAAGGAAACTAAAACTTTCTGTGCTCGACGTCCGCAGAGAGTTTGAGCTGGAGCATCAGAACGGCAGGTGGATGGAGGCTCCGGGGTGCCAGCGGATCACGCTCAGTCACTGTGACCTGACCTCTGACCTGGGATCAGACTCTGACTACAACATCCGGGTCAGAGCGCATTGCGGCTCGCAGCGCTCCGCCTGGACCAAACTCAGCCCTCCCTTCAATAGGAGACAAAGTAAGACAAGAGCTGACAGCTCCGTCTGTTTTACGGCTGATGTTCGGTGTGTTTATGGATGTTTGTCTTCAGCTGAGACGTATCGTCAGGCAGGAAGAGAAAGTCAGGCTCTAAAGGAAAGAAAGAGGCCTTGGTTTATCTGATAGAGAGTAAATGTGCAGAAAAGTCCATTTGAATTTTTGAATTTTTAAACGAAGTAATAAAGAGTGATTCCTGTGTGCAGCCAAGCTGTCGGTACCAAAGATGACAGTGACGTCAGCAGGCGACGCCCTCCAGGTGTCGTTTGAGACTCTTCCTCTGACGTCAACCGTCGATGTGACCGTTTGGAAAAAAGGCGAAAAGCTGCAGGTCGTTATTTGATCTCCTTTTCTCTTTATTTCTAGTTCATGTTTTCATTCTTGCATTTGCTCCTTTCTTTTCTTTACCTTGATTATTTATTTTCGTTGAGATTGTGATTCCTTTCCTTGTTTCTGTTTTTTTTCTTTTTTCTTTCCGCCTGTCCTTCCATTTCTTTTAATCCACCTTTATTCTCACATTTTCATGTTTTCTCCCCCACACTCTTGCTTTTTGTCCCCTTTTCTTACACTGTTTCTTTTTTCGTGTCTCCTCCTTTCTGACTTAATTTAACGACACAGCTTAAGTTTTGTTTTTTATGCATTTATTGTATCCTTTGTTTCATTGTTTAAAATAAAAAAAAACTCACATTTTCGTTATTTTGATCTCTTTTAGGCTGTCGTGTACTCGATGCCTGCTGAGGAAGAGGTGCTGCACATCGCCGCCCTGCAGGAGGGAGCAGTGTACTGCGTCACAGCGCAGACTGTGCTGAACTCAGGGTTTCGCAGCAACAGCACTGACACCCAGTGTGTGTCCATCATAGGTACAGGCGTAAACACACACACACTTCTTACTTTCCTAAAATGTTTTAACTTTGAACATGTTTCTAAATTACAATAAAATCTGTAGGTCGTGCTTAAATATCCTCCTAATTTAAAATATTTTCTTAGTTTCAGTTTCTCTTTTCATAATACCTGGTATTGCATTGAAGTTAAAACCTTCATCACTTTGCAAAAAAGCATTTAATAAAAGTCTTCCCTTTCCCAAAATAAATCCAAATTTAAAAAAAACATTCACAATTTTAGAAAAAGATCTTCACCATCAAACCCATTCTCTTATTCCACATGATCTGCCTATAAAGTCTTTGCTTCACAGAAACATCAAGATTTGTGCTTATAATTAAATTAAAATATGGAAGCTTAGTTTTGGAAACAGTGGCCCTTGTTTCCTCATCAATTATTCAAAATAATTAAATGTTCAATTAAAAAATATCTGAACATTAGAAGCAGAGAAAAAAACAATAAAATCCAGGAAGAACCCACACGCAGTACTAAAAGGTCTGAATCTAATTCTGATCTAATATCACTGAACAGACATTTTTTAAAGCCAGCATGTATGCAGTGAACTAAAAGAGCGCTCACGCTCACTGAGGTTTTGACTCCCGACTCATCTGCAGATCCAGATGCTCCTGCCTGGAAGACGCCGACCACCCTGACGGTGACGGTCATCATCACGGCGGGACTCCTGTTTGTTTTATTCTGGTCCATCGTTCACTGTCGTCCAGAAACCTGTAAAACACATTTCCATAAAGAGCCTCTGCCACAGTCTCTGGTCAGTGCTACCTCTCATCTACACAGACAGTGTAGACTAACCCTAACCCTCTGGTGTAAAAGATCTGAACCAGGAAGTCACAATTTATATCAGCAAACCTAACAGCAGCAGTACTTTAGCGCACCCTGCTGGTGAATTATTGTTTCTACCGAATATCTGACACCTAAATCATAAATACACATAGTAAAGAGTGTTACTGCACGTACTGACTAAGTTTGAGGTTCAGTGTGAAGTAAAATGATCTACTGCTTAGTGAAGTTTTCCATATCTTGGTCTGTTTTTCTACAGAGAGGTAATTGGGACATTCAAATCCCAATGAGCCCTCAGGAGAAGGAGCTTTGTGACCAGATGGTGATGGAGCCAAATCAAGCCTCATCACAGACTGATGCTGCACTGATAACCCACCAGGAAGACTAAACCAAGCTGAAACTCACTGAGAATCTACAGCAGGACAACAATGAAGTAACGTCGTGCTACAGTCCTGCAATATAGCTGTTGGAGGGTCACACGGAGCAGCACGCAACATTTGAATGGTCCATTTATGACCCACTGATCAGAGTTGGAGGTGGAACAAGAAGCCCCTGTGAGCCCCGACAAAGCTGACAAGTGTTTACATTCCCTGTTGACTTCTCTTCAGAAGAAAAAACTGGGTATTTGTGTGACTTTTAAAGCGCTACGGAGCCCACAGAAGGAGGTCAGGATTTATTCAAGATTCAAGCAGATCCACAGTGGTAGTAAACAAAGATGTAGGGGGGAAAAAACTTGGGAAATGAAGAGACATTTTAAGCATTACTGTTTAACTGCTGATTGTGAAACTGTTAAGCAAATGAACCATCACAGCTTTGATTGTGAAATGAAGCAGTAATGAATGAAGCAGGGATACAGGCTTCTTTTCACCGAGTACATTTAAGTACATTACTCAAGAAAATATATTTACCAAGATTAAAGATTACATTCTGTTTGAATTGAACCAGTATGAGCTTCTTACAAAGTCATCAGTCCAGCAGACCAACCAGAGAGGATTCACTACATGTGTCAGTCTATAAAATTCAGTTCAAAAGTTGTGAGCAACATGCTGCCTACAAATTAAACAAACCACCAGACCTGCAGTGGGAGCTCGGACTGACTTCATCAGCTTCTTAATATTTTGGTACTAAGAGTTGTTAATGCTCATTTTAGAGCAAGCTTTACAAATCTGTATTTAAAACTCTGGTGCCAGACTCTGTTCTTGTTATCTTACAGTGCTACCTCTTTAGTTCTTTTAGTGTGAAACTGCATGTGTTGATTTCTAGCTGGTGCTTTACGTTAACGTCGCCTTTGTTAACGTGTATAATTAAACTGCAGCGATGTGTACGAGATGCTGTCACATCACTGCTGAAAATGTGCTGTTAGGATGAAGTTATAATTAAAGCACATGCAGTGTGTCATGTTTTTGAAATAAGCTTGCTGTGATGGAGCAGATATTGTTGGGTTACAGCTAAACACTTACAGATGAGCATTGTTTATTTTCTGTAACCTTGGACCTGAGGGCTGAGCCATGAAGTCAGGTCAACATTGTCAGGCTTTCGTGGTATTTGTTGGCTCAACAAAACCTGAAACCTCAGTCAGAGAAAACCCGTATCAGAGAGGTCACACTCAGTTTCTGTGCTCCAGACTTTCTGCCTTTAGGAGAAACTCTATACCACACGTAGAGCGTGCTGTCGAGTAAACAACCAATGTGACAGAGATGATTTTAAACAAACGTTGAACGTTGATCTACTCTGGACCAAGAAATGAGCTCAGTGTACTTATTGTGGTCCATGCATGTGTATGTAATGTGAGGCATATAGTTTGACTGCTTTAGGCTTAAATCCTGCTGTAGAGCTATGTGTATATGTACATATACATGTTGTCATTGCAATGTTGATGTGTCATATATATATATATATATATATATATATATACATATTCAATGAGGTAAATTCATTGAATAAACGTGTTTGTGGATTATCAGCCTGTAAATCTTTTTACTAGGTGTTCTGCGCCTCTTGTTTTTGCCGTACTGGAGTTGTGATGGGTTTTAGCCTCCCTGCAGTCTGAATTGGATGGATGTGTGGATATGACACATTTTTGTTAAGGCCATGATAATATTTACTGTTTTAGGGAAAAAATAAATTAGATTGTGAGAAGCGTCTTCAGAGAGCTTCATTATTGCACTGTATAACCTATGAGGAAACTTACAGCAGGGCAATAGCCCATGTCAGGTATTATCATTGGAAACACTCTAGAAGATGAGTATTTATAGTTCTGCTTTGTCGTAAATTTGTGAAAATTGAATTATTGAAGTGAAGTGGAGAGAGAGAGACCCAAATGCAGGCACTGGCTTATGTGCAATGAGTGAGCTTTACTTACACGTGGTGTACACACAATGCAACAGGTATGCACAGACACGAGCTGAACACTATCAGACATGGCAACAGGGAGGGAACACAGAGACGCAGAACAGAAAGAGCTCAAAACACAAAACCTGAGAAGTAGAAATACTAGGACAGAAACCAAAATATTAACAGTGACTGTTTGTCACCTGTTTTTAACTCGAGTTACCATCTTTTCTACACTGACTGCAGTACAGAGTGAGTGAGATGCCAATCTGTGCAATGAAGGATCACAACAGACAGCAGCTTATGTGCTCTCAAGTTTATCAAAGTTTATTATTTAATGATGTCACCATCATTCAGCAGGCTATTACAAGAATGCTGATTTTCTAACACTGGAATATTTCTAACAGTTTGAGTTATTTTCCAGTGTTAGAAAATCAGCACTGCTCAGTGTTAGCCATTGTTAATCTTCAAAACTGACTAGGTTACTTTTAAACATATAACACTGTCAAAGTGTTAATTTAACACTCAACAGTGTGGTATTTAACACTCAGAGGTGTGGACCCATATAGACACTCTTTTTTGCTGTGTGACATGTCTCCCCATGTTTTTGTAGTCAGAAGGTCAGAAGGTTCCTTTGTAAGTGTGCATGCGCCATTAGCGTGCTGCCTGCTGTAACCCTAATTTCCTTCGGAATTAATAAAGTATTCTGATTCTGATTCAAACTGTTGACTGGTAGTGGATATCTATTTGTTTCTGCTGAGATTACTTGTAGATGCACACACACTTTGATCTCAGCTGTGTGTGGTGGTAAATTACACACACACAAACACACAAACACACACACACACACACACACACACACACACACACACACACACACACACACACACACAGATTTACAGTATTCAAATTATTCAAATTTGAGGAAAATGCAAACTATCTGTGCAGAAACTGCAAAATGGGTGGGCAGCAGGAAACAGGTTTCAAGTACGAACTCAACCCTGAGGTTTAGCTGGATATCAAAACATAGTAAGTAACTTCACATTTACACTTTAATTTGCCATCTTAAAATATACATACTAACAGACTAATAATTCATTTCCATGATACTTAAAGTAAAAACAAAAAAGCTAGAGAGATGGAGATGAGTTAAAACAAACCTCTGCTGGCTGTTTGTAATCCTCCAGTTGAACCCAAACGCTGTTGTGTCTTGCTGATGTTGACTTCTGTTTGAAAGTGTATGAAAAAAAGAAAAACAAAGTAAAGTACACAGCAAAATCTCCAGTGTTAAATTAACACTGAGAGTGTCTATATGGGTCCACACCTCTGAGTGTTAAATACAACACTGTTGAGTGTTAAATTAACACTTTTGACAGTGTTATATGTTTAAAAGTAACCTAGTCAGTTTTGAAGATTAACAATGGCTAACACTGAGCAGTGCTGATTTTCTAACACTGGAAAATAACTCAAAATGTTAGAAATATTCCAGTGTTAGAAAATCAGCACTGCTCAGTGTTAGCCATTGTTAATCTTCAAAACTGACTAGGTTACTTTTAAACATATAACACTGTCAAAGTGTTAATTTAACACTGGAGATTTTGCTGTGTAGAAAAGCAAATAAACCTTAATATTTGCTTAATTTTTAACTTGTCGATGGTTTTGTTGTGAAGCTGCTAAAATCTTGAAGAATCTGTAAATACACCAACTTCATTCATTGTCTGTCAAATTTGATATAAATAACTTTACCTTTTAGTTCTACACAAAACACTGCCAACACCATCTAGAATACAATGATAAGATTAAAAATGACAAAGGGACACCAATGTTTGGATACTTAGTACAAATAATATTATAAATATTAAATGTTTTCATAAATTAAAATGAATATATCTAAACGAAACAAACATAAAACAAAAGACACACACACACACACACACATATATATATACATATATACAAAAAAAGAGCTCAGTGAACATGAACTTACTGTGAAGTGTACCTTTTATCAGAAAGAAAGATTTTTCTTTTCACTTACTTTCAGGTTTCTTTAATGTGGCAAACAGGCACACGGCCCTCCCCCACCCACATACAGGCTTAGCCATGCTGCAGCAAAATATAAAGGAAGTTAGCTGTAGATGACATAAAGTAGTTTTCAAACTAAACTAATAATAATAAAAGCTGTTGAAAGTTAAAAATGAATTATTTTAATTTACATGTTGTTATGCATTCGTCTTCCATTTTAGTACATTTTGAAAAATAAAATTTGACAGATTTTTTTCTTTGTTTCTCCTCTCTCTCTCTCTCTCTCTCTTTGTGTGTGTGTTTGTGTGTTTTTTCCCTGGGTACAGGAAGAAGAACATATGGTGGACGTGAACAGGACAGCGACTGTGTAAACAAGTATGAATTCTCAGAAGTCCTCCGCGCCCTCATTTACAGCAAAGCTGAAAGTGAAAGAAGAGCTGCTGCAGGAGAATTGCGCCTGATGCCTACATGAGCTTCAGATGAACACAAAGGGTCTTCATGACCAACACTCACATGTGAAATTTAGACAAATATAATGCCAAATAAAACTGGAGTAAACTCATTTATTCCCGAATGTATACACTAAATGATGTTTTCTATAGGCCCAAGAACAGCACACAGCACAAGATCTGTACAATTACTGTTTCTAAATTACATCATAAATACTGCTCACATCAATGCACTTACAGTAGCCGCAGTAAAACCAAGAGGAAAATAATTCAAGTTTATATTCAATGGACCAAAATGTAATGACTTGGATATGGAGTTGGTTTCATGTTGATCTATGACTTCATCTAGTACTTACCAGGTGAGGTAAATGAGGTAAATATAATCTCATATGAGTAACATGACCTTTTAAAGAACTAAGCCGAAATGCAGAAGTAGTGTTTCAGGAAAAACTTCCTTAGACAGCATTCTGACTTTTCTGTATGACTTTGAACAAAAATAATTTGGTGCACAAGTTTGATTCATTTTGGCTTTTTCTAATTTCTTAACATTTGATTTGCTGTAAAATGACAATCATAACTTTCAGCAGTGATTGGGTGAAGACCCAGTAGGTGAAGGAGTGAATTTTTAATGTGGGTGGACGGAGGACAGATGTCTTAGCTAACAACACAAACATCACAACAATACAAACGTAGTTATAGTTTGACATTTATTGATGCATCCATCATTCACCACAACAGACGTGAATGCTATCATGGACAAAAACATAATGAAGCTCATAAAATGATTTTATATATTAGTAACATTTACATTTGCACAAATGTGACTTTGCACTATATTTATCTTTTTATCCCAAATTTACTTTGAAGAGTTAAGGTTAGAAAATTAATAATTACAATTTAGTTCAATGTAAACAAAACAGATTAAGAAATGATATTGAAATAAACACAAAGCTGAGAGTAGCGTGTGTCAAGCAGACTGTGGAGAAGAGCAGAACAAATTCAACCAGAAAATAAAAAATCATTTTTGTCATTGTGCTGTGTTTACATCTTAAATTACTTGCAGTAGTACAGCCAAGTGGTGAAGCACGCACTTACATTGCAAAACAAGTTCAAACTGAACTGTGGTGAAGTCGTTCTCTGACTCTGGACGTGTTGCCTTGTTGACTTGGCTAATGATTAACATCAAGTGATTCTTGATGACGCAGGAGTTTCTTGCCTTGCTCTATTTTAGCCATTGTCTCTGCCTTTTCCTTCATGGACATCAGAGACTGAACTCGTCTCTTCCAGCCTTCTTTGCCCTCAGATTTCTCTCCTTCAATAAGCATGTCGATGTACTCTGGAGTGGACAGAGGGTTTGCCTTCAGTGCTATCTCTTTAAGTCTGTTCAGACACTTGGAAGATCTCTCCATCAGTTTCACAACGTCAGCCTGCAAACTTTTATACTCAGCATTCAGTTTATCAATCACTTTCTGAACAGTCATCTTCTCTCCTGTGGCTTCCCGATACTTTTCTTCCAGCTCCTTTATTGTTCTTTTCTCTTTAACATCTTCATAGCCCCATTTGTACTTCTGGTTAAAGTGTACATTCCAAATACATTTTCCTGGACATTGAGTACAGTATCCATCTGGCCCCATTGCTCCACAGCTCCTTTTATCTGCATCATTTGCATAGGCACAAGGGTAGTGGCAGGTAACATGACACTGCTGACAGTTGGTGATGTAGTTTCCAGATCCAGAAATGTCCTCCTGAACAGGCTTTTTGACAGTAACTTCAAACTCGAAGTTCTCATTTCTGCCGATCTCTGCTTCATATTCTTTAAGTTTTTCCCTCGTCTCTTTTATCTCCTCAAGCTTGGCTAACCCAAGTTTCACCTGCTCCTGCAGATTCTCAACTGAAATCTCGAGCTGCTTTCTTTCTCTGAGGACTTCCTTTGTCAGTGTCAAGCTTTTAGTTTCTATTTTATTCAGAGTGGCAAAAAACCTCTTCATGCTTTTTGTGCCCATCTCCCAAAACATCTGATCAAAGTCTCCTTCATCATCATCATCATCATCATCATCATCATCACTCATTCTGTCTCTTTCAGCTGATTTGTTATTTGCAAAAAGTGCTGAGTTATTGAATTTGAAGTGAACCGGCAGCCCGTCTTTTGTTTTAGGACATGGGACTCCTGCAGCATTGATCGCCTCGAGAACTGGAGGTCGCTGACCGTCTGCAAATGTCACCACAATGCTGATGTTTTCTGCTACATCTTTGCCAAAGATTGAGAGCACTGAATCAAACACATATTTTTGTGTTGGTGTGAGTCGAGCTAAAGCAGCCTGAGCTACAAAACACACAGCATCGATTTCACTGACACCATGTGAGGAAGTGAAGAGATTACGGAGCTGCTCTACGATCTCTCTGTCTCTTTCTATGCCTCTTGTATCTCCAAAGCCTGGAGTGTCCACAATGGTCAGAGAGAACGGGATTTGAAATCTATCCTGGTGGTTGATTTTGTACACAGCGACTTCAGAGGTCTGACTGTGAGCTTGTGATGTTGACTGAGTTTCATTCACTAAGTTAAAGCGATATGGATCCTCCCATTTAACACCTAAAATGTAATTGATCATCCCGTTGATGAGAGTTGTCTTCCCAGCACCGGTTGCTCCAAGAACCATTATGGTGCGATTAGGTTTACTGGACTCTTCTCCAAAACTAAAACTCTTGCATCCATCGACATTGAATTTATCATTTTTTAGGGGAATGACATAAACCGGGAGATGTCCTGAATGTGATTCCAGCAGTTTGCTGATCTTTTTAACAGCATCTGAAAGCTTTATGGGGCTTTTTTCTCCCTTAAAGCGGCTGAACATTCTCGTTTTGTTTTATATTAATTACTAAAGTTACTATGAAGACGTTGATCTTTCGTTAATCTTTCTCGCTCTGTGCAGTCAGCATCAATATCTTCTGCTCTGGAGGTGTTGTTCAGGCCCAAATCTGAAGAAATATGAAATGTACAAAATATAAATACACAGAATTAGAGTCAACATGTTTAAATAGGAATGATCTGTGCTTAACAATGACTGTGTATCTTAAGTGAGGGAAGACATTATATCGATATTGAGGGAATGGCATTCTGCTCTATCGCTGTACGCATGGAGATGTCGAAGAAAAAAACGATCAATTTTTTTTATGTAGAATTGTCGCCTTAGATCCTTAAATTAGCTTAAAATGGCTAAACTACACAAAAACCACCACATTTTATTCTAAGCCCAAAAATTATCCCCACTGAAAATAAAATCTTATGTTAAGATTTTAGTTTGGACTACTCACTTTCAGTTTTAAATTTATATATTATTCTTTAATGTGGTGTGACTTTTACCATTCAAAGCATGCAGTAAAATTTTACTTTTGTCTGTTTTCTGCAAGGGTGCTTTGCTAATGAAAAGATAAGTTTGGGCCATTATTGCTGTTAGATAATGGAGTGTGTGTGCACGCGTGTGTGTTTGTGTGTGTGGGTGTGTGTCCTCAAGTCCTTTCTCCTATAAGGCCACACACTGGGGGTGTCCAAATTCAAAGGCTGCATCCTCCTGAGGCCGCATTTGTAGGCCGATTACGTCACAGCGATGCGACGAAGGCTGTCCAAATTTGTACACTCCTCCAAATGCGTCCTACTTTTCCCCAGATTTGAAGGATGGGTTGGGTGTATCCTTCGTGGCCCACCATGTCCCAGAATTCATAGCGCAGCCCAGCCAATTCCAGTTTCCAACAATGGCGGCAGCTACTTAGTTTTAATATTACTCTTATTACTCTTTCTGGGTCACAAAATACACTTTTAGGATATTTTCAGGTGAGAATGTAGCTGTGTAAACTTCAAATATTTGCTCGGTTTATCAAGATATCACGTGTTTGCAAAAGTGCTCCGACATTTTCGGAGACGTCTGTTACCTATGGGCTCAAATTGCGGTCATAAATATTTTGTACTTGTAAATCAGGATTTGTGTGTGTAAAAAGAATTTGTGTGTGGACTTAGCAAAAAAATACGTGTGAAACTCTGCACTCAAGTTTCAAGTTTCAAGTATGAATTTTGACCCTATTTTTCTTCCTTTCATCTGATTGGCCAATGTCATGTCAATCACAAATTTAACAATCCAATCAGAGAACAGATGGGTTTGGCTATTGGAGGGGTGCTTTATGGAGCTTCAGGTCCTTGAAGGGAATACTGCCCTTTACATGCCAGCCCAGCGTTTTCCTTCATCACCAGGAAGGAAAACAGTCTGTGGTCGTCTGAGTTTGGTGATTTTTGTGTCACAGGTCTACGTGTTTAATACAGGGACTTCCACAGCCTTTTCAACAGCGCTGCAGACCTGGGGGGCAGTGTTGTGGAAATGACACAGTCTTCACTAGTGGGGATAGTTACAAAGCTTTCTTTGTTATGAATTAGCAATACATGTTTTTATTGAACATTTGAAGATAAAAAAAACAGAAACTCTTGTAGAGGACATAAAGTCAGAGATGGAAACGACAAGGAGCAGGTGCATCTAGTACAGGTAGAGCTGCTGCAAAAACCCACAGAGCCCAGCAGCCAGCAACAAATCCTGGATCCTTGGCTTTGAGTTAGCAGTTAGCATTAGCAGCACATGCTGCACCCGATGTGAAAGGACCTTTATGCTGCACACTGTGACTCACAGCAATGGTCCTGGGTCAGCCCTGACTTTGTGTTAAACTAATCCTAAAGTAATAATGGTATTTCTAACCACTGATATACCACAACTTTATCCTTTCAACAGCTACTGAAAGTTAGGGGACCTAACTGCTATCGGATATTTACATACATACTCTTCAAGGACCTGCAGTCAGTGTTGCCAACTCCTCAGTGAGGAAAATCGCTATTGGCTGTCCTAAAAGTCGCTAGAAGTCGCTAAATGACGTCATCACCTAATTTACATAATTGGTCATGCTAATGTAATTGTAACCTACACTGTTGGAGAGAGAAATAACATCGTGGAAGAGACAAAGTGAGCAAAAAACGTCTTAAATACATTTAGAATTTATTTAGAACTACAAATTAAATTTCTTTTAGCAATTATTGTTTTTTAATGTCACAATTCCAACCCTTCTCCTTTATCCGGGCTTCGACCGGCAAAAGTGACCCGAAATAGGCACTCTGGTGGAGTCACTTTGTGTGTGAGAGTGTGTGTTTATAAGTAGTTTTAAACCTTGTGATCCATAAAACAGCATAACAGTGAAAGAAGAACTGACTGTGTTACAGTCACTGCGGAGCAGTGGCTTCGCTCATGCGCGATTCATTTGCAGTTTGGACGCACAGGTGTGAACGTCTCCTGCAGCTGGGGGAGGACTATCCTCCGCCCGTGAGCACTTTAGCACGAGTGAGGTGCCCACGGCAGCACCGCTGCTTGTTGAGAGTAAGAGCAACATGCTCTTTCACGTCAAAAGGTCGTCATAAATAAGTCTCCAATAACACCAGAAAAAGTCGCCAGATTTGTCGCTGGTCGCTTTTTAGAAAAAAGTCTCAAAGGGGGTCTGAAAACTCGCTCAATATAGCGACAAAGTCGCTAAGTTGGCAACACTGCCTGCAGTTCAAAACAGCACCCCCCCCAACAGCCAAACCCATCTGTTAAATTAGTGATTGACATTCATTTCAGACCCAGCAACACGCTCAGACAAAAACTGGTTCACCCGAAAGACAAAACGCCAAAACACAGACTTAACAACGTGGTGTATGCTGTACAGTGCAGCGAGGAATGCCCAGACCTCTACATCGGAGAGACCAAACAGCCACTTCACAAGCGCATGGCACAACACAGAAGAGCCACCTCCACAGGACAAGACTCAGCAGTCCATCTGCATCTTAAGGATAAAGGACACTCTTTCGAGGATGCCAATGTTCACATTTTGGACAGAGAGGACAGATGGTTTGAAAGAGGAGTGAAAGAAGCATCTATGTCCACTGTGAGCGACCATCTTTGAACAGAGGCGGGGTTTACGACACCAACTCTCTGCCATCTATAATCCAGTTTTGAGATCCCTTCCCAGACGCCTTAACGCCCACTCACATCCTGGGCCATCTGACCTCAGGAATTCGCCTGATAAGGTGGGGCCAGGTTTCACAATGAGCTCACCCGAAACTCTGGCTGATTGGGACCCACACCCAGTTTCACACCTTGGCTCAGGCGATTAGAGGATCATCAGGGGTCCTTTTGTCCCTCTGTGGGGGGAAACTCCCACTAGGTTTATATCTGGGACTCTCCACCATTTGACCTTAGAACTGAAGAAGCTTCTCGGATGAGAGGTGAAACGTCTTCAAGCAACTTAAAGAAGTCCAGACGCTTTTCTTTGCAAGCTCCTTTGACTACGATGTAATCGTAGTATATATTATTATTATTTAATAATAAATCAATATTATTATTATTATTTATACTATATATATTATATACTTTATACTATATATTATTTTTACAGTGGTTTTGGGAGCTACCATTTTTGTACTTAGGATCTTTAAAGAAAACTCCGACATTATAGAAAAAATAACACTTGTTACCTGGCTGTGACGATAAAACCAGATCAGTTGTGATATTGCTTCCTGGGGTCCTTGAATGGCATATGTACTTGGCTGTGATGACAAGTTGAAGGTGAGGCTGGAGCAGGTGTGGCCTATCAGAAAAAATGCAATATCAGGTATTACCAGAGCTACTGATTGGTAAAGGCTGTGTCATCTCTATTTACTCAAAAAGACCGTTTTTTTAAAACAGTTTTATTGCAATGATAATTAGCACCATGTGCTAGACCCAACATAGAGATCTAGTTGGACAGAAGTTTGAGCCCAGCCCAGTCTCTGGTGAGGCCGAGGGCAGAGTTACAGTCTCTGAATGGGACGCACCAACGAGGAATCAAAGACACATTCTTGTAAAAGAGTGGCTCATTAACAAAAAATACAGCGGCCAGCTTAGAAACAAACTTCAGGAGCAGACTCTTGCTGACTTCAAAGGAGGCAAAGGAGAGAGCCAGGTCCCTGGCTTGTAGTTCCTCTTTAACATCAGTGCTGTCCTGTCTGGAAAACCCATCAGATTCATTTATCATTAGGATTCCTTTTAGTTTTGATTATCACAAGATTACAGAACACAAAATGGAGTGAAAATAAAATATTTATTACATTAAATTGTAACAAAAAATCTTATAAGTTATAAAGCTTGTAATTGCTGTAGCATGCAATGTTAAAAGAAAACCTATCCAAACAATACAAACTTTACATAAACCTTGTGTTGATCTTAACCTCCACTGGCACGTGGTGCTCAGGCACCCCTTACTATATAAATAGCCCCTTTTTCAGTTTATACAACTCAATAACAGATAAACAGTAAAATAACCCCTCAGTTTATTTGTCAACTTACCACTTAGTATGCCTCTGACCAGTAAGGGAGAGCAAGTCTGCTTTACTCTGTGGCTCCTTTTGGGCTTTTATGCAGTGTGCATACAGTGTGTAGTGTGCTCATTTCATGCAGCGTGAAAAACGTGTTGTTTGGGTACACTCCAGCAGCACTACATCGAAACCTGAAAGAGGTCCACTGTCACATGTTTAACTATTGCCAATCCAAGTTATCAGTTATTGGCAAGCTAGTGATAACAGTAGCTATAGAGAGTGCAGAGTAGACAATTGTTGGAGGAGAACTTTGGAACTTTTTTCAAGTTGTCATGATTGACAAAATGTGTAATTTGACCCATTTTGTCAAATCACAAAATGTTACAGGTCATATTTAAAAGCAGCTGTCGAGAGAACCTGAAGTTTTCAGGGAAGTTTTCAGAACACATTTCTATCTTTGTTTGTGCTGGGGAAGAAAAGAAAAAAAAGAAAAAGTGAAACATATGAGTTAAAACACTCACTTTGTGCAGACTCTTCAGTGATGACTGAATTGCAACTGATTTTTATACTTGGAGAAAAAAGAAAGACAAAGAGAAAAGTAATCACATTTAGAGGTACACAGAGTTTAGAGTTCCTTTTTATACTTATTAATTTAAAATAATAATTTTGTCAATAAGATAATTTTTAAAATGTATATTTAACATTTGTACATGTACAATTCAAAATCTTCAAATTTGAAACACACTAGATTGGCAGGAACTTCTGTGACACGCGTCAAGTCAGCGTTCGAGCTCGTCATGCCCAAATCAGTACAGAGAATCACGAAATTCTCTAATTCATTCAAATTAGTCTGGAAGGACAGATGTCGTGATCCTGGCTGAATCGACAGCCACTCTGTGGTTACTTTGTGCCATAATGTCTCTGGAGACTTCGTATTTTCTCCAGAGTAATCGATTTGATAATTGAGAGACAAGCTCGCATCTATTAAATACTTTCTTTTCTAAATCAGTGTTACAAAAATATTGTCACGTGTCGACCAGATTCAGACGTAGAAACTCAGTTTTGCAAGTAAAGTGATTTTATTTACAGTGAAGGTGAGTTGTGCTACTTATAAAATCTTCTAGTTATTCACAGTTCAAGAGTCTCTTATTTACAAGGTCCAACAAGGGAGGTGATTTCGTTGTGATTGCTATCATGGTTAGACAACACTCAGACTGAAGGTTAGGGCAGACCAACAAGCATACAGACCAAGAAGGAGACAGAGGAATGGGTTGTTTTATGGAAAACAAGTCATATATCCTCAATTAATCATGATCAGTGAGAAGTACATAACACCACTGCACTAAATATTGATTGAAACAGTTAGTAATTGAGTTAATAATGAAATATAAATAATGTTTATTTAAATTTTTTGGGGGGGGGGGGGGGGGGGGGGGGGGGAATTACTGCTGTCCCTGAGAAATGAACATAACGGTATGGTTAAATGTCAAAGCATAGATAAGGCTGTGACACTCTACACTGACTATTGAATTTCAACTTGATTTCCTCACTTGGAGAGTCATTAGTCATTTGTTATTGGCAAGTTGATAATCAGAGTAGACATTGGACCTGCTGTTGGAGGAGCACTTTGGTCTTTTTTGTTTGTTTTCATTTGTTTTGAAATGTGACAAAAATTTTCAATTGAAACATATAAATAAGACAAAAAGTCATAAATGACAGTTGGTTTTTCAGTCAGAATCCCTTTGTCTGTTTCTCCTCTAAATTCTCTAATTCTCTATTTCACTGGGTAAACAGTTTCCACAGCTAGTTATACACTAGTTCTTTTTTTCTACGTATGGTAAGTGGGGGTAGTTTGACTCTGATCCACAGTCAGTGTGTAATTTGCAGCAGGTTGCTGTAGCGTCTGCCAGCAGGTGGGCAGCAGCATCAGTTAAAACCAACTAAAACCACATGTGCACTGCTGTAGATGCAGCAGCTGCAAGATTTTAAGCACATATAAGAATGAATGCAAGTTTAAATGTGTGCTCAAGGATGTTATTACTCAATCAAACTCCAGTGACAAAATAATTGTATTTCACAAAACAGTTTACTGCTGCTTTGAGGGGGGTTGTGCTGTTCTCCTGTCTTTATGGCTTATGTTGGGTCTAAACACACAAACCAGAGGCCAGAAACCGACTACTAACTTTAATAAAATAATCATAATAATAATAAAATCACTGTTTTTGTTGATGCACTTTGGTGCCTTGAAAAGACCAAATTGTTCTCAGCATACAAAGTTTTTGTAAAAGCCATCAAACTTTGTTATCTGTTGACACATGAAATTGTAATAATAAGTTAATGTACACCTACAAACAGTGAGTTATTATTCCTTATTAGATTATGTGTCTCACTCTCAGGAAAAAAGCTTTACATGCAGTGAGAGTTACACGAGTAAAAGCTCGTGAAAACATATAAAGGACTTACTTCCACTGTCCATAGACTATGTGTAAAACCATGGATATGCTGACTTTTGTTAATCATAATTAAATTTACTATGTAAATGATTAAAATATTGTAAAAAGATGCTGAAAGGTAATGTTAATGTTGCTCATGCACAGGTTTTGTGTTACATGTTTAAGAACCAGGGTTCACTGACAAGCTGTGGCTTTCTAAGCCTATTTAAACAAATCACAGGGAGAAGTTTGCATACGAGGTATAATAGACTGCACAAATAATGACTAAATGTTAGACTGACTTTCCCACTGTTTCAGGTACACTCCACCAGTATTGCACTTAAACCTGAAAGTGTCATAAATGGCTGTTTTGCAGGCCAAATGAACTCAAAACAACTTTAAAAATATAAAAATAATTGTAAAATATAATTCAGTTTTATTTTTACAGCACCAAATCACTACAACAGTTTTCTCAGAGTACTTTATATTGTAAGATAAAGATCGCACAACAAAACAACAAAAAGAGAAAAAAAACAATCATATGACCCCTTTGAGCAAGCGCTTTGGTGACAGTGGGAAGGAAAAAATCCCTTTTAACAGGAAGAAACCTCCAGCAGAACCAGGCTCAGGCAACTGGTTGGGGTTAGGGGAGGAAGACTGGACGACCTTTTTGTGTTTTTCTAGGAGAAAACACAACAAGGGAGCACAAAACTGTGAGCGCAGAAAAAACTGGAGAGGACGCATCCGGGAGGGCAGCTGAACCTAACTGAGAAGTAAGGCAAGGGATGTCAGTCTGAATAGAAAGCAAAGAGACAAAATGCTAATAAGATGAAGCAGGAAGTCACAAAATACAGGAACAGAAAAGTGGACTCGACACAGAGAACAAGAGGACAGGAAAACAAACTCAGGAAACAAACTGTAATTACAAAAAGTTTACATTTTCAAGAACAAACGAAGCAGAAAGATGGAAAAGTGAAAAAATAAACCACAAGCAAACTAAGAAACACAACGAAGATATTTACCAACAACAGAACTTAAGAGTAAAAACCACAAAACCCTCGTTAGAAGACCGTCGGCTTTGACAGAAAATGAAAGAAACTGCTTCATTTTCCGCCGTCATGTTTATAACAATCGTAAAAATAAATCTTGTTTTCGCAGTTGTCATATGGCACATTGAACCTGTGGACAAATAACTGATCAGCATGAATGTTCAATAATGTAAACCTTTGTTTGTTAGTTAGAGAATCCACTCCCCAAACCATGTTGTTTTCCAGAAAGTTCACATTTTAGTTTTGTCTGAGCATCTTCAGTTTGCAGATAATGCTCATAAAGTTTAAATATATTATTGCTTTTCTCTTTGTACAGTCAGCATGTCATGTGATTTTTCTGTCCTGCCACCTGATTAAAGATCTGGGGGCGGTCCCTATGAAAGAGGATATAGTGTGTGAAACTGCAGCCTTCCCTAGGACACTCAAACATTCCTGCTGTAAGTACGCTGATGCTCTCTCCATCTTTTTAATGTTCTCCTGTACACACTGCTGTGGATCTTTGCTAAATTCTGTCATCATTTAAGTCATTTCACAAAGGTCACAGGGCAAAGGTGAATGCTGTGTGTAACCTGGTGTTTTGGTTCTTACTTAAATATGCATCGTTTTAGTGTTTGCTGAACGTTTCCATTGGTTTTGATGAAGGTAAGGACTAAATCTAAAAAAGAAATGTGCACGAGAGCTTTATATCAAAATAATTTTTTAAAGCTAAAGTGTATCTTAAGTTATTCATTTATTTTACATTTTACATTTTAAAGCACAACTTGCTTTTAAATCTGTTTTTGTTTGTTATACAGACGTTATGTACGGTGCAGTATTCAAAAGATTCTCCATCTTCTTTATGCCAAGCTAATTATTTATTCATTAGACTTAGACTGAACCACACCATGACTGTAGTGTGTTCATCACGTACACTCGCTGTGCTGTGAGTTCTGCCACTTTTACTCTGTCACAAATAATTATACGTAGGATGAACTGAGCACAGTTGGAACAGAGGGACATCTAACTCACATATGCAACAAACCTGAACTCTCATTTTGGTCCTGCACATGCACATTAGTATCATCTCTGATCATTGGAACTTTGAAGTAGGTGAGCATTTCAAATCTTAAGATATTGGTTTATTTTTGTGTTCACCACTAATAGCTCCTTGTGCCTGGATCAGCGTGAGTCATTGTGATCTTCACTCTAAAGACTAAAGACTGACGTATGTCATGAAATGGTGTCGTTTAAAGAAATCAGCCAGTCAAGAGAAATGTGTAGGAGGATCAGCGGGGAACAGTCTGACATTCAGACAAATGGTTGAACATTACTGGTTAAGAGTAATGCTTATAAAAATGTACAAATCTAACTAAAACGCAAATTACTGTTTATTATATTTGATGACTGATATTCTGTTTTTTGTTTTTGTTTTTTTGCCTGTCCCGTTTGGCTCTTTTGCATCAGAATTGTTGTCTAAAGGCAAAGAAAGATACCCAACGGATTTTACTTTACCAAACTGACCATCCCAGCCTTGCCGTAATGGTCCATTTGATTCACCTTTTATTGTTTATTTTATTTTCACTTACTGAATACGGGACAGACTTGACTGGGGGAAAGAAGGGGAGAAAGAAAGAGGGAAAGAGAAACAGCTGAGAAGAGGGACGGGGGAGAAGGGCAAAAGACAAAAACCAACAGAACGGGCAGAGAAAAAAAAATGCATATATCAATCACCTGGGTCACCTGTTGAGAAAGAAAAAAGAAAGCAAGCAGAAGAGAACAAGAGTAATAGAATAAACAACATCACAATGATATATGTGAATATGACAGTAAATACTAAATGTTAAACATTATTGTGCAGCACATAAGATCAACAGAACACAGTGTGCTTTGAGGTAGGAGCCAAAAAGGGTGTAGTTTGTGGGTGTGATCACCCGTGTGTACACCTGTGAGCATGGACGCGCTTGTTTTTTGTTTTTTGTTTTTTTAAAAGGTTCCTTCATGTAATAATCTGCTAGAGGGTGTGGGGGGGCCACAGCCCCGTCCTCCAGGGCGTGACTGATGACTGATATTCTGGTGTCAGCTGTAGAAAAAATAAACTACTTTTGGATATTATGGATTTTTTTGTAGTTTAGACTTAAGGAAGCATAAAATATATTTTCACTCACTAGCTTTTTCTGGCACAATGGACAAAGTAAAAAGTTTACCCTATATTAGTAATTATGAAAAAGATTTTTAATATTTCTGACCTGACTGACAAGAACTGCAATTCCTATGCAAATTGCTTCTCTTTGATCTCTTTGCTTCTCTTCTTTGATCAAATATGTCAGAAAATACATGAACATAACTAAGAGTTACCGATGTTTAATGTAACCTTTACAATATGATGTGTTTGAGTTTACGGACTGAGGTTTATCAGAAAATAAACCTTATGTAAGTTATATAAATAACTATAAACATATTTTACAGCAGAGGCAACATTATTCTAGCCCAGCACTGGGTCTCTTTTATTTACAGTAACCAAATCAATCAGAATCACAATACTTATCAATATCAAATGATGAGAATAGGAAGTCGAACACAGCGTAGAGAATCTGGTCATTGTTAAAAAAAATAAAATCCCTAAAAGACCACATGCAGACTCAATGCTTCACCTCTGAAACGCTCAAACGTTTCATTTGGATGGCCCTGGTATTTTGCATACTGTCTCAAAAATAGCATATATTAACCTTTTTTTTGTTACTTTCTTACTATACTTAAGTAGAATTTTTGTTATTTTTACTTTTACTCCCTATTTACTCCTAACTTTTTCAAAACAGGCCCATTAATTTTGGTTTGACGGATTTACTCCAAGCCTTCAAAGATCAGACGATTTAAGCCTAAACAGTAACACATGAATGTGTTCCTGTGAATGTGTATTAATCACCAGATGTTGCATAAAAAGAAATGAAAGACCCCAAATCGTGTGCCATATTGGGTTGTTAGTGGGGGGTGCTAAAGTGGGCTGGTGTTTTTGTTTAATTTTATCTTTTTGGCACAACACAAGAACAACTGCAAGCTTAAGTTACTTCTGCACAGCTACCCCTACTGAAGACGAAAGGCAGTGACGTCTTGTCGCTGTGGCAGGTAACTTGAAGTGCAGCGTTTCTATCAATTCAACAAACAACAGCAAACACACAAACTGTTTGTGTGCCGTTTGTGTCACAGTGTGTTGGCAGCTCAAGGTCAAGCTGCTGTATTTCACAGGGAGAGAAAAGAAAGAGCTCACTTCAGTCAGAGATGGAGAAAAATAAGAAAGACATGACAGGCGAGGAAGAAGAGAGCTTAGATTTAAAGATAAGACTGCTCAGTGGTGTTTGATAAACTGGACATGTAAAGCTTACAAGTCCTTATGTGTTTAAATCAGATGTTGGGTCTGTACAAGTTACATTATGTTGTTTCATATTACATATATATATTTCATATAACAAACTGGGGCAGACTAACTGTGTTATTTAAAGGTTACATGAAAATCCTCTGCAGGTTAGTGCAGGATAAACAGGTTAGGTTGCTACAATGTGTGACTGGTGCACAGCGGCTGTGGTTTCATGGTCAGAGTTCGGTTACATCAACTGTAGCAGAGATTCATATGATTTTTAGCTGATGATGCTGAGATCCATTGGCTGAATTCCACCTTCAACTTTAGAGTGTTTAATATAAACAGCATAAACAGCATAAACAGCGTACTGTCAGTGTAGAGGACGGAAATCAGCCAAAAGAACTCGTGAAACATCTGCTGACATCTGGTTGAATTCAGCTGTGTACATCCACAAACAGCAGCAGGTCAGCTGATCACAGCCTGCACACTATGGAAATCTACTGGAGCTCTCAATAGAAATTATTGTGAGTTATGATTCTTTTCCCCACGCTGAGCCACTACTGCTGACTTTAGGCTACTCAAATTCCTGTTTAGAGGCAAAGTGACCCTCTACAATGGAGGCAACAGAAAATAGAGATGTGATTTATTTTCCTTCTTTTTCTCTGCTCATGTTCTACTTAACCGACTCAAGCTGAGTGCATTTTTTAGAAATAAAATGTAGACTGAAATAAAGTTTGTATTGCTATCTACTAATATTATTTTATTATGACAATAATATAGCACATGGTTCAGCTGGCTTTGTATAAAAATAGGTGGTAGAAATGTTCTTTAAGGAGCTACTTTTACTTTCTTACTTTGAGTACATTTCAGAGCCTGTACTTGAGTAAAGAAGCTGAAGCAGTACTTTGTATTATCTGCTCAGATACAGAGATGGATGCTGAAGCTAGCAGAACGATGGAGGTCGCGACGCTCGGCCGGCCCTTCAGCCTTGGGATGCTGTATGACTGCCGCCAGGATTTAGTCATACCTGGTAAGGATTCATGCGTAGTAACTCAATATACAGTGGTATGCAAAAGCTAATTAATTAACTTTTAATTAATTCATTTTCATGATTTTTCTTCATAAAGCATTGGTTGTTTGGATCAGCAATTCCATGTAAATATATCATATAGCAGATGAACACAATGATATTTGAGAAATGAAATGAAGTTTATTGGATTTACAGAAAGTGTGCAATAATTATTTAAACAAAATCAGGCAGGTGCATAAATTTGGTCACCCCAACAGAAAAATTACATCAATATTTAGTAGATCCTCCTTTTGCAGAAATAACAGCCTCTAAACGCTTCCTATAGCTTCCAGTGAGAGTGTGGATTGTGGTTGAAGGTATTTTGGACCTTTCGTCTTTACAAAACATCTCCAGTTCTGTCAGGTTCGATATATTTTCAATAATATTCAGGTCTGGACTGAGATGGCCATTCCAGGACGTTGTACTTGTTCCTCTGCATGAATGCCTTAGTGGATTTTGAGCAGTGTTTCGGGTCGTTGTCTTGTTGAAATATCCAGCCTCAGTGCAAAATCAACTATGTCACTGATTCTTGAACATTGTTGTCAAGAATCTGCTGATACTGACTGGAATCCATGCGACCCTCATTTTAACAAGGTTCCCAGTCCCTGCACTGGCCACACAGCCCCCAGCATGATGGAACCACCACCACATTTTACTGTGTTTCTCTTGGGATGCTGTGTTCAGTTTCCGCCATGCATAACTCCCCTTGTTATGCAAGGGGTGCAAAGTGCGCTGAATAGTTGAACGATGCACAGTGACACCATCTGCAACAAGATGATGTTCTAGGTCTTTGTAGCTGTTCTCACCATCCTTCGCCTCTGATATCTAAGATTTTTCTTGAGCTGCCACTTTGGGCCTTAACTAGAACTGTGCTGTGGTCTTCCATTTCCTCAATATGTTCCTCACAGTGGAAACTGACAGCTGAAATCTCTGAGACAGCTTTTTGTATCCTCCCCTAAACCATGATGTTGAACAATCTTTGTTTTCAGGTCATTTGAGAGCTGTTTTTTTGAGGTTCCCATGCTGCCACTCTTCAAAGATGCAAAGAGGAGAAAAACTTGCAATTGGCCACTTTAAACACCGTTTCTAATGATTGGATTCACCTGTGTATGTAGGTCAAGGGTCAATGAGCTTACCAAACAAATTTTGTTTACCAATAATTAGTGCTAAAGGTAAACAAATCAATAAATGACAAGGGTGCCCAAATTTATGCATCTTCCTAATATTTTAAGTTTTGCTTATAGTTTAAGTAACTATTGCACACTTTCTGTAAATCCTATAAACTTCATTTCACTTCTCAAATATCATTGTGTTCATCTGCTATATGATATATTTACATGGAATTACTGATCCAAACAACCAATGCTTTATGAAGAAAAATCATGAAAATTATCAGGGGTTTCCAAACTTACCACAGTACGTGAACTAAAATCCACAATCGACATCCCATCATCAATTCTGAATAGAAATAAATATTGTTCTTGACAGAAACACATTTGTTTTAATAAACTGTGGTTCAGTGGTTAGCACTGTAGCCTCAGGGTACTTGGTTTGAATCAGGCCGGGCCCTTTTTGAGTGGAGGCCTGCATGTCAGGTTAACTGGTGATTCTAATTTGGCCCCATGTGTAAATGTGAGCATGAATGGTTGTCTGTCCCTATGTGCTGGTCCTCCAGCACAGTGTACTATGACAGATAAGACATATAACACTGAACTGATAAGTAGAACTGGAAAATGGATGTATAGAGGGAGGGATGTGAAAATTGTTCAATGTGGAAAAAAATTAGACTAATGCCAGCTGTCTGTGAACAATATGCTGTGTTTACCAGGCTTGGAGACACCCACAGTGTCATAAGCATGTGTTACACAACTTACAAAAGTAAAGATTATACACGTTAACAAATACTTAAAACTAAGGATATTTCCTGTACTGTTATTATTTTAGCTAGCTTTACAAGTTCAGTTTTCTTTTTAAATGCCTTTTTTTTAGCTCACTGAAGTTTATCTTCACGACTTGTCTTTGTTCAATTTTAGTTAAATATATTAACTTTAGTGCACAGATGCTCATTTTAAGCCACCATCTGCATTCCAGTGGCAAGAGGTGCTATTTAGTGAAGTTTTGTTGCTTTTAAAGGTAGACTTTTGAAAAGATCATTTTTCATGTTCTCAAACATGTAATTTGTTTTGCTGAGCTTGAAAACAACTTTCTTATTGCTAAAAATAAAGAGGCAACCCATCTGGTTTAAGCTACAAAGAAAATATCCAGTATTCTGAAGCTCCACAATGAAAAACACAAAAGCATCGATGTTCTTGTCATTTTTCATTGTTTCCATCCATCCATCCATTCGCTTCCGCTTATCCTCTTCAGGGTCGCGGGGGGCGCTGGAGCCTATCCCAGCTGTCACAGGGCGAGAGGCGGGGTACACCCTGGACAGGTCGCCAGGCTGTCGCAGGGCTAAC